TAAATAAATAATTTTTAAAAAGACACAAATTCAGAGGTATTGCAATACCAGATTTCAAGACATACTACAGCATAGTAATAATCAAAAGAGCCTGGTACTGGCACAAAAATAGGCATGCAGACAAATGTAACAAAATACAAGCCCTAGAAATCAATTCACACATCTCTAACCAACAAATCTTTTTCAAAGGAGCTAAAATGAAGCCCTGGAGAAAGAATAGTTTCTTGAATAAAGAGTGTTGGGGAAACTGGAACTCCATGTGCAGAAGTATGAAACAAGATCCTACCTTACGCCTTACACAAAATCAATTCGAAATATGTCAAGGATCTAAATCTATGAACTGATTTCATAAATTTCTAGAGAAGAACATCAGGGAACTTCTGTAAGACGTGAGCATGGGCAAAGACTTCTTGGAAAAGACCTGAGAAGCACAGACAATCAAAGCAAATAAGCAGACTCACGGGATTACATCAAGCTAAGAATCTTCTGCTCTGCAAAGGAAACACTCAGCAAAGAGGCAAAAGGAGACAGAATGGGAGAAAATATTTGCAAACTATGCAACTGATAAAGAATTCATATCCAGAACCTATGAAGAGCTCAAGGAACTCAACAACAACAAAACAAACAATGCGGTTAAGAAATGGGCAAAGGATTTTAACAGACATTTTTCAAAAGACGAAATTCAAATGTCAAACAGACACATCAAAAAATGCTCAGGATCACTAGCCATCAGGGAAATGCAAATCAAAACCACAACGGGGTTTTACCTCATCCCAGTTAGAATGGCTCTCACAAAGAAATCATTAAACAATAAATGCTGGTGAGGGTGTGGGGATAAAAGGTTCCATAATCTAGTGTTGGTGGGAATGTAAACTAGTACAGCCACTGTGGAAGACAGTATGGAGATACTTCAGAAAGTTAAAAACAGATCTACCATACAACCCAGCCATCTCACTCCTGGGCATTTACCCAAACGAAATGAAAGCAGCACATAAAGACTCATCTGTACTTCATTGTTTACTGCAGGTCAACTCCAAATAGCTAAGATATGCAATCACCCCAGATGTTCATCAACCGATGACTGGACAACTAAAATATAGTATCTATACACTATGGAATACTACCCACCCATAAAAAAGAATGAAATCCTGTTTTTTGTAACACAATCGATGCAAATGGAAACTATTATGCTCAGGAAATATGCCAGTCCCAATATGACAAATAACAAACAGTTTCCCTGATCTCTTGTAACTAATAAAGTATAAAACAATAATATGTATGAGCAAAATTGACATTCTGAGATTCCATTGCTGTTTACAGCCTTGGTCTCTACCACTGAGGAACAGTTTTTTTTCCCCTTGTATTAGCTGAATTCTTTACTTAGTAGAAGGTTAAACTTAAGATTATAAAATAGACTGAAAGTATGTCACAGTAAAAATTAAAAGAATAAGAAAGGAAAGAGAAGTGAAGGTGGGAACACTGGCAGGAGGGGGCGCAGAGTAGGAAGCATCACTACACCTATGAATCTGTAAATATGAAATACATGAAATCTGTTCACCTTATATAAATAAAAGAGTGAAAAAAAACTAAAAGCTAACCTTGAAGAACCTTCAACTGTGCTGCTCAGTAACTTACAGCAAGTCCTTTTGAGCAGAAACACATAAAGTCATTTAAGAATAATTACTGCTAGCGATTTGGACTGTACATTAAGAGCTCTGTGTTGTGGAAAGAATCAGCCATCAAAGAAGGTTGTACTTTTCTCTGACGGGAGGAGAGAACTTCCACTTTGCTAATGGCCTTCTCTAGATACTAATGGGGACTGTGGATTCAAATGCCTTCCACAGCCATGGCAGCTCATGGCAAGAGTTTGGGTGGTCACTGACATCATACATAAGAGTGTATGACAACAGGAGTCACTGTGCACTAACTTCTCATGCAGGACCTCTGTCCTCACTGAGTTGTATTAGGAGAGTTAACTGTAAAACTTGTTCTCAAATAGTTTTTTAAAAATATTGTGTGTATGTGAGTGTGCAAATTGTTACAATCTTACGGAGTATAGAATTGGTCTTCTGTGTATAAAGTTAACGGAAAATAAATCTTAATGGAGAATAGGACTGGGAATGGGAGAGAGAGGAGGAGGTGCAGTGGAAGTGGGGGTGGGAAGGCAGGTATGGTGAGAACAATCACTATATTCCCAAAGTTGTACTTATGAAATTTGTACTTACTAAATAAAATTTTTTTTTAAAGTTCTGTGTTTTAGTTATAAATACTATAAATAGTGGTAAATGATATATAAATGTAAAATTCTAATATATTTAAGATATATACACATTTATTAAATATTCCACATAAAATACTGCAGAATATATATATATATATATCTTTTTCATTATCTTTCGCAGATAACTTGATTCTATAGAAATTAACTGAATTCCAGTTAGAATGATTATGTGGTGAAATTTAACCTAAATCTTTAGACTACATTTGCAAATCAAAGATAGGTTTCTGGGGCTTGGCATTGTGGTAGAGTGGGTTAAGCGGCCCTGTGCAATGCCAGCAAACCACCCGGGCATCGGTTCCAGTCCTGGTTGCTCCACCTCTGATTCAGCTCCCTACTATTGTGCCTGGGAAAGCAGTGGAAGGTGGCTCAAGTCTATGTGCCCCTGCACCCTTGTGAGAGACCCAGAGTGTCAGGCTCCTGGCTATGACCTGGCCTAGCCCTCGCCCATGTGGCCATTAGGAGAGCAAACAAGCAAATATACAATCTCTTCATCTTTGTCTCTCTGAAACTCTGCCTTTCAATTAACTAAATTTTTTTAAAGATTTATTTATTTATTTAAAGTCAGAGTTACACAGAGAGAGGAGAAGAACAAAGAGAGAGAGAGAGGGCTTCCATTTGATGGTTCACTCCCCAATTGGCTCCAACAGCTGGAGCTGTGCCAATCTGAAGCCAGGAGCTTCTTCTGGGTCTCCCACGGGGGTACAGGGGCTCAAAGACTTGGGCCATCTTCCACTGCATTCCCAGGACACAGCAAAGAGCTGGATGGGAAGTGGAACAGCCAGGTCTTGAACTGGTGCCCATATGGGATGCCAGTGCTTCAGGCCAGTGCGTTAATCCACTGCGCCACAGTGCCGGCCCCAAATAACTATTTTTTAAAAATGGGTTCTTATAAAATTCTCAAAGTCAGATTTGAACAAAGGGTGCTTCCTAAGCTGGGGCTCTGCTTACACATTGACTTGTAACAGAAAAGGTATTGGCATTCCCGCCAGCACAGGCAGCACTGGGAGGAGGAAGCATGCAAGCCGAGAGCAGGAACCTCGAGGTCGACAGCAGTGGAGATGTATGACGACAAGATTCGTTAAGGTCACCACCGTTCTTGCACTGCAGAAGCCCACACGCCCGGGTTAACACAAAGGATTTCCAAAGGAGGAACATGATCAACTCACAGTGATTTCAGGGGTAACGCAGTCAAGCGACTATTACTGATAGACTCAATAAACTACAACTCGATCCACACTGCTGACCAAACGCACGGAAAATTTCTTAATAGATGCATGCCTCTCACATGCTCACAAGGGACAAGAAAGAACAAATTGTGAAGGGCGTTCTTAGCCTTTCAGACTTGGTTGCTCTGACATGCAAACCACAGCCTCATCATGGAGCCTCTCCCTTCAGCATACAAAGCACGTGCCTGGGGTTATCCATAGTCCTCCTTTCCTTCTCTTCAACTGTCTCCTACGGCTACTAAGCCTTTGACACAAGAAAAAAAAGATCTATTTGTATAACAAAATCAACTCTTGATTTCCCCATCTTAAAAATATGCAGATGTTGGAGGATGAAGGAGAGTTGGCAAACTCCTTTTTCTAGTTAGTACTTCTCTAACTTTATGGATGCCACCTGAGGCTTCAGAGTGGGGTTCAAGATACCCACACGGGAAGGGGTGTCCAAAAAGCTTATGAAGATGCGTATTATGAACAAAACGGTGCATGGACTCCCAAGGTGTCTTGCACCCAAGTAAGCTTATCTTTTCCTTTCATTTGCCCACAAACCGTCAAAAGCCCTCCCTTGCCCAAGGACTTCCTGTTTAGGCAGGTACTGGTATTTGTTCCTTTGTTTTATCTCATTAGAGCGAGAAAGGCCAAGCTGTGTCCTCTGTGACACTGGCCTGGGTCTCCTGGCCCCTCCTTCCCGGTGCTCTCCTCAGCCTGATGGTGATGCCTCAGGGAGGCGGCCTGGGAAACCATCCGCTGAACCGTCATTCGGAAGTGGTTTACCTGGTGATGCCTCCAACTATCACTCCCCGTCAACTCCCCCCACACACTCCACCTTCCTCTCAATGTTTCTGTGTGTGGTAAATACAGGGGAAAGTGGACGTTTGATCCTGTGGAACAAGGAACCCTATTCTCCGTCTCCACCTGTGCTTGCTTAGGTTAACACAGGACCAACCCGATTAAAAACAGAAACAAAACTGGGAAGATCTCCCTGTTGGCCTGAGTGCAAGAATGCACAACGCATTACCGGCACAGGATAGGTCCTGGAAGGTGCTGAGAATGGCCACAGTGTCTGTTCCTGAAATGCATTCCTGCCCAGAAGCCTGGGGGACAGCAAGTGACCGTTCCCCCCACTCCTGCAGCTCACCCTGTGATATGCTGCATTCCGTTCACATTCTACAGTCAGCACCCACATTCTATTAGGCCTTCCAGTCTTCACCCCTTTTAAAGATAACACAAGGTTCTGCAGGTTGGGCAAATAAAAACATTCAAGAAAGTATACGTAACAGCTCCACCTATGACCATTAATGATACAACGAAGTCCCTTCTCTTGGTTAGAGATGCAGCTTGTCCCACAAATGACAGCAGTGGGATGTACACAGTCTAAAACAGAAGAGCGAGAGGTGCAGCATTGCGAGCTCAGCTCAGTGGCTGGGCTCCGCGTGGGAGCACCTGCCACACACCGTCAGGAATGCCTAAGCAACGAACAAACTCACAGCATTACTTACCCTCCCTTGATGTAGTCAAGGAAAGAAACTTCCGTTTCTACCAAGAAGGAGAGTAACGTTACCTGGAAAAGAAACCCAGAATTAGCTCTAGCAGAACTAACTGTAACCCAGAAAGGACTTTTTTCCCCTAAATGATACAGAGAAAACCCTACTTCCTAGCGTTTGGAAAAAGCACTAAATACATGATAGTTTATTAAATCTGCTAGGACTGACTGCTCTTACATTGAAAAGTAGCAGAAGGGACTGGACCAGAAAAGAAGAAAAAATTAACTCCTTTCTATGACCAGTTTTCTCGCTTTGAAGAACAGCTTGAAAATTGTCTAAGAGGACACTGTGCTCCTTCTGATTTTAGATCAAAGGGGAGACGAAAGGGTGCTGGAAAATGGTTCAAACTGAAAACCCAGAGTCAGTGAGCCACCCTGCAGAGGGAGGGGCCCGGCGCTTCTGACTCGGCTCTGTGCACGATCATCTACCCTGCGGGTGTCCTGCCTCTCGGGAATCCTTACACAGGAACGCAGAGAAAACTCAGATTTTGCCTCTCCAAAGGAAAGTTAATCTCAGGGGGAAAATTTCAGTATTTTATTACTCAATAAGAAGATTTCTTTTTTTTTAACACAATTTTCAGATACATTCATCTTTGTACCCTACTGTACTGATTTAGCACAGCATCCATTCCCACAGTTGTAATGTTTAATGTATTATCAACAAGCACCTTCACACCCCGTAAAATAAATCTACTTAACAGTTAAGGGCAACATTAAGGGTATGGTCTTTCTACCTTTTTTAAAAAAATTTTATTTGACAGATAGAGTTAGACAGTTAGAGAGAGAGAGACAGAGAAAAAGGTCTTTCTTCTGTTGTTCACCCCCCACCACAATGGCAGCAACAGCCAGAGCTACGCTGATCTGAAGCCAGGAGTCAGGCGCTTCTTCCTGGTCTCCCATGTGGTGCAGGGCCCAAGTACTTGGGCCATCCTCCACTGCCCTCCCAGGCCACAGCAGAGAGCTAGACTGGAAGAGGAGCAACCAGAACTAGAACCTGGTGCCCATATGGGATGCTTGCACCACAGCCATGGCCCCGGCCCCAGGTCTTTCTAAATACGACTTGAACTTTTCCATGTCTGCCTGATTCTCTGTACTCTGACTCCACTGAAGAACACATGAGCTTCCCTCTAGGAACTCAGCCCACAGGAGGACCTGCAGGAAGCCAGGCCACCAGCCCCAGCGGGTGTGCTCCCCGTGATCACTCCCTAGGCAGGCGACTCCTGTGTCATGTTCACAGTGCAATCCTACGTGAAACAAAGCCCCAGTCTTACTTGTTTCCAGCCTGATTTAAAATGTCCACTTGGGTTTTATTCATTAATTTTAATGTTTAATGGGTAACACAAAAATTGACTTACTGTTCCAGAATTCGTACACTTTTTCTTTTTTCCTTTCTTTTTGGGATTCACCACCTAAAAAAACAGATGAAACAATTCAAACCCGTTAGGTAATTTTGAAGACGGTAGTTTAATCGGCTGCCTTGGCGTCTGGTGCAGGTATTGCTTTACAAATGCTTTGAGGACTCCTGGCCAGTTATCTGGGCACTGCTTCTCTGCACACTTGCTGGGGAGCCTCGGGAAAGAGAGCTTCGTTTGTCAGAGGTACTCTCCTCACTCACCTGATGCACTGAGTATCTTTCACCATCTGCTTCTTGGGAACAGGTTGTTAACATCCAAGGCCCACAATAATTATTATTACTTTCTAGAAAATTTAAAGTGATGCATATCTAAGAAATGTAGCTTGTTAGAATTAAATACCCTAATACAACAGATCACCCAACATGTGGGTATCTAAGAGGTTTACCAACCTATCAATTGCTTCATCATGTTAGTAATTTCCATGGAATGCCCATACTACCTAGTAGGTAGTCTATTTTATTGACACAAGACTGATTTTTTTTTTTTTTGACCATTGGTTTCGCGAAGAAGTATCAATGCAGTATCAATGCACTCCTACATTTGAACAAAATTGAAGGCACCAAGGAACAAGAGAGTGCCACCTGTCAATCTCACAGGATCAATAAAATACAGTAGTGCCTTAAGAGGCTCTGCCAGCTCTTCTCAACCCACAGCATGGGGACAGCACTTGACCGGGAAAGAAAGATGAAAGACTTTATGAGTAAGTACTATTTGAGCCAGAATTTATTAACGTAAACCAGGGTTCCAATAAAAATGAAATGAACAAAGACAGCAGTCTAGAAAGGGTTTGACTGAAACAGAGGTCACAGACAAACAGATTCAAAATGAGTCTGAAAAAGTGAGCGGGAGCCATGTTGAGGAGATCCTAAATATCAGAGCGCAGGGTTGGGACGCTCTTCAACTGAGGTTTCAACCAGAGCACGGTCTACTCAGTCGACAGCACAGAGATCCACGCAGAGAAACTGGAGACAACAGTCAGGATTCTATTTCTAACCACCTATGAAGAGGTAACGAGGCACTGGATAAAGCAGTGCCAGGAAGCCTGGCTCCCAAGGAGAACTCAGAAAACAGATTAAACTGGATTAGGACCACCACTACAGAGGGCCTATGTCAGCTGTACTTCATATGTCTGCCTCTCCCATTACACACTGACATTTTCTAGTCATCTTTGTATCCCCAGAGGGATACACAAAATATGGACTATGGAAGACATTTAGTAATTTTTACAAGTGTACAAATTAGTGTGTGGAATACTTAGTGCAGTAAGAAGGTGGTAGGTGAAGGAGACTCCTTCACTTTTAACTTAAAAGAGGCCAATTTTAATGTCCACTCGGCAGAGAAAGGTTATTATTCTTGACGAAACACTAATAATAATATTTTCCTTTGACCTCCACAAGTATTAAATTATAGGAATATAGCAATACCACAGCTCAAGGATGAACAGTGCTAAACTATGCCAGGTGTCCCAACACATGCTTGCTGATCAACTAGTGGAGCGCTTTAAGGCAGAAGTAACTACTGTGGACTTGCTTTAATAAATGGATTTTTTTAAGATTTATTTATTTCAAAGGCAGAGACATACAAAGTGAGGAAGAGACGGAAAAAGAGATCTCTTCACTAGTTCGTTCCCTAAGCCAGGAGCCAGGAACTCCATCCTGGTCTCCCATATGGGAAGTGGGCCCAAGTACTTGAGCCATCCTCTACTGCATTCCAGGCCCATTAGCAGGGAAGTGGATCAGAAGATCAGCAGGGACTTCACTGGCATTCCAAATAAGGGCGCCAGAGGTGTCACAAGCAGCAGCTCAATCCAGGGCCACACTGCAGGCCCCAGCATGATTTCTTATTGACTGTGCATGGCCTTGTCACTCCCTCTAGTTTGCACGTGAATGAGAGCGAAGGCACTCTGCAGATCACAGGCCACTGTGCAGTGCCACTGATCACAACTGAAGCACATTCTCTTTTCTTATTAGGGAAGTCTTGGTGGGCAAGTTGGTAGGAAGACAAAATATAAAAGATGAAGCTTAAAAAATTAACATATCCATACTTAATTTTTAAAGTTTCACATGCAAAAATTCAAAATCACTCCAGATTTAAAAGGCCTTGGGACTTGAAGAGAAATAATATCATTTAGTCTAAGAAACAAGTTGGCTAAAGGAATTTAAATATTCTTAAAATCATATATTGTTGCTAAGTTAACCTGTGGCACTTATCCTTATCCTTTGCAAAATCCATATTTTTAAGACATAGAGTTACTGGAAGTGATTAAAATAAAATGCTTCTCACCTCGTATACATTGAATTGGGACTGCCCTCTAGAAAGTTCCCGGTAGCTTGTTGTAAATTCTCCAATGATATCGTGACTAAAAGGAAAAAAGTATACATTAAGTCTAGTGATCGTGGAAAAAGCTTGCTATTATTATGCATGTAATAATTAGTAACTAAGAGATGGATATATCATTGTCCTCTAATTCAAAATCATGTATATACAAGTCTTATTTTTATTAATATTCAGATGTGTAGTCCACCAAAATTCATTTTTACATAGGTATATTAGTATTAAGATCTGCAATCTCAAAAATATTATTTGTTATTAAAATAATTATTTAATAGGATGAAAATTGGAGACACTCCAATTTACTCATCAATGAAGTAATCAAAAATATACAGAAATCTTCAAACTTTCCTGTGGCTGGGGGTAATAAGACACCACTACAGAAAGAAATGACATGCTAGCATGTCTAACAGTCACCAATCTGCTCTTTAATGACAGCAATTAACAAGTGTTTTGCTAGCACCAACCTGGTAATTCTAAACGTCATCACTACTTCTCGGGGGCCTTCTCAGTTTAGTGAGGAGGGGAAAGAAGTGAGTAACATGGGTGAGTTCTCACTGAGGCTGACCCACGCTTGCACAAAATAAACGTTCAGCACTCAGCCGCAGGGAGAGGACTTCTATTCTACTCCTCTGGAGTCAACGTAATGCCCAATACTATGCTGAACACACAATGCTCTCTCCCTTTCTCTCTCTCTCTCTCCGCGAGGCTGGCAGGGTGGAAGAGGGCGCCCCGCCACTCCCCGGCATCCCGCCCCACCACGACCCCCTCTACAGCTCGGCTGAGTCGCCTCGCCAACGAGCGAGTCTTGCAACCCGGGGCATTTTCTGGGGAGACGCCCAGTCTGAGGGCTGCTGGTACTGACGGGGAGGGACAGGCGTCCGGGACGGCCGGGTGAGCGGGTCCTGGCGGGGTGGGGGGCAGGGCCGCGAGGCTGGCAGGGTGGAAGCGGGCGCTCAGCGTAGCACCACCTCGAGGGGACAGGGAGGGCCGGCCCGGATGGCTAGGGACGCTGGAAGTCTCGCAAGAGTACGAGCTGGGCCCCAGGGGCGCCTCCTGGCAGGGCATCCCGCTGCCCAGCGGAGGCCTGGCGACCAGGATGCCGGACCCGTCTCGTGAGCTGGCCCCGCTGCCCGGCCCAGGAGCGACGCCAACAGATGCTGCGGGGCTGGAGGCGGGGGACCCTCAGCCGGTAGCGGCCGGCGCGGTCCGCACCAGCCTCGACAGCCGCCGCCGTCGCCCGCCCCGGCGCTCCCCGCTCACGGGGCCTTACCGAGGCACTGTCCCACCGGCGTGCTGAACGGATTCCCCAGCAGGAACTCCATCTTGCACGGAAAGCGCGGCGGCGGACGGGGCGTCCAGTCTGCCCGCCCGGGTCTCCGCCGTCCCCAGCCGCGGTCCCGACCTGACTGACACTTGCCCCCGCCCCACCCTCAGGAACGCCGAGCCCCGGGCCCTTGACCACGCCCCCTTGTCGCGTCTCTATTGGGCAACGCCTACACAGCCCTCATCCGATTGGCCTTCGCCTCTACCTCAGTGAAGCTCCCACCCACCCCGCGGCGTCCGATTGGCCGGAGAGCGAGCTAGGTCGCTGGAGTCCCCGTCAGGCGTAGCGGCACCTCCCCTGGCCCGCCTCCGAAAGAGAGGCTTTGCGTGTTGATTCGTCCATATATCGGTCAAGCTAGAGAATCCTTAGTATTATTGGATAAAAGACGAGTCAATCACTTAAATAGGGACAGGGAGAGGAGGTGGATCTACGAAGATCCCCGCCCACAGAAAGTGCTGATTGGGTAAACGTTTGTTTTCTCTAAGCCTGGTTGGTGTGGTAGGATTTCCCCGCCCCGAGAACTGATCACGTGATGCGTCCACTTTCACCCAGGATGTCTACCTCTTAACTTCCCCTTAGCGACCAAGCGGCGGCGCTTGGTTCCCTAGCAACCGGGGGACGCTGTTGCTGCGCAGACCCAGCCCGGAAGCCGGCGCCTGAGAGGAGAGGAGAGGAGACCCGGGGCGGACAGTGGGGAGAGAGGTCGGTCCACTAGTGTGCTCCCCAGATAACCTCAAAAGCCCAGGTCTCCCGCGTGGGCGGTGGGGCCGCGAGCACCTGAGCTGGCACCCGCCCCTTCCCAGGTGTGCATTGTTAGCAGGAAGCGGGAGCCAGGAGCTCCCGGGACTCGAACCCCGGCACCCCAGCACGAGACGTGGGTGCCCCAGCGGTGTCCTAAGGGCTGCCGAATCCCACGCCCACCTCTGCGAAGTGAGCTCACGGCTCCTGGGCCAGCCACCTCACGCTGGCTTCGGCCGGCCACATCACTTAGTCTTGGGCTTTCTTTGGGTGAGGAAGGAGAGGGTAAGGGCGCAGGGCCAGAAAAGATTTTTTTTATTTATTTATTTATTTATTTTTTTTGACAGGCAGAGTGGACAGTGAGAGAGAGAGACAGAGAGAAAGGTCTTCCTTTGCCGTTGGTTCACCCTCCAATGGCCGCCGCGGCGGGTGCGCTGCGGCTGGCGCACCGCGCTGATCCGATGGCAGGAGCCAGGAGCCAGGTGCTTCTCCTGGTCTCCCATGGGGTGCAGGGCCCAAGCACCTGGGCCATCCTCCACTGCACTCCCTGGCCACAGCAGAGAGCTGGCCTGGAAGAGGGGCAACCGGGACAGAATCCGGCGCCCCGGCCGGGACTAGAACCCGGTGTGCCGGCGCCGCTAGGCGGAGGATTAGCCTAGTGAGCCGCGGCGCCGGCTAGATTTTTTTTTTAAAGATTTATTTTATTTCTTTGAAAGACAGAGTTAGAGGTAGAGCCAGAGAGAGGTCTCCCCTTCACTGGCCCACTCCCCAAATGACCACAACAGCCAGAGCTGCACCAATCCGAAGCCAGGAGCCAGGAGCTTCTTCCAGGTCTCCCACACTGGTGCAGGGACTTGGGCCAGCTTCCACTGCTGTCCCAGGCCGTAGCAGAGAGCTTGGTTAGAAGAGGAGCAGCCGGGACTAGAACCGGCGTCCATATGAGATGCTGGCACATCAGGCCAGGGCATTAACCTGCTGCGCCACAGCGCCAGCCCCTTAAACCTTTCCATACACAGTGTGCTTGCTCTCCTGTCTGCTGATCATTCCTCCAGGTTCCGGCTGTCATCGTCAACCTCTGCACGTCCGTGTGATCATTCTCCCTTGGCTTTGGCTGGGAATGCAGGGTCGTCCCTGTTAGTAACTCCGCTGTGTGACCTTGGCCAAGTACCTTCTTCCCCTCCACCGCGTATCTGAACCCTGTGCCGTGTCCCGGCCTGCAGAGCTGGCGTGTAATTCAATAGTGCGTGTGCGCAGAGTCCACGCAAACCCTGTTAGTGGCTGCTCCCCTCCTTAGTAATTCATGGGCACTGGGAACTGTGCGTCGCAGAGCCGATTGGCCCACGGTTCCTGTTTCCCAGGAAACTGCTGCACCTGCTTCCCGGCGAAGAGGCTCTTCAGGTCGCAGTGGCGTCGGACTCGAAGCTGCTGTCTCTGCCGCCTAACTCTGGGCTCACTGACGCCACTGACAGGCAAGTCGGCAGGGACCCGGCCTGGGTGGTGAATTACTGACTGTATCCCCACAGCACAGGGCTGTTCGGGCCTCATCCCTGACCCGGGACAGCTGTGAGAAACCTTGTGCACAGTGGTAGTGAGTGTCTGGAACCCTGGGTACAGCTGAGCCATGCTTAGAAAGATGGGTCCATTTCTTACCTGGAAACTGGGGTTCGTCCTATGTGTAAATCGAGTCCCCAGGGAGCTCTCAAGTGTGACCCCCACCTCGGTCGTCACCAACCTCACTCCTCTTGGGGTTCTCAGTACTGTAGCTGGAATGTGCTTCTTAGAATTATTAAAGTCCAGGGGCCGGCGCTGTGGTGCAGCAGGTTAACGCCCTGGCCTACAGTGCTGGCATCCCACATGGGTGCTGGTTCGAGACCCAGCTGCTCCACTTCCGATCCAGCTCCCTGCTAATGGCCTGGGGAAGCAGTAGAAGATGCCCAAGTGCTTGGGCCCCTGAACCCACGTGGGAGACCCATAAGAAGCTCCTGGCTCCTGGCTTCAGATCAGCGCAGCTCCAGCCATTACAACCATTTAGGGAATGAACCAGCAGATGGAAGACCTCTCTCTCTCTCTCTCTCTCTCTCTCTCTCTCTCTGCAACTCTGCCTCTGAAATAAATAATCTTTAAAAAATAATAATTATTAAAGTCTGGGCATGGGTGGCTTAACCAGGGCCCAGGGTAAGTAGCCACCCCTGGCTCCTGACTCCAGCCCCGCATCAATGCAGACCCTGGAGGCAACAGGGGAGGGCTCGAGTGCTTGGGTTCCTGCCACCCACGTGGGAGATCCAGATGGAGTTTTTGGCTCTTCTGGCTTTGGCCTCAGCACAGCTCAGCCCAGCCCTCACCGTCACAGGCATGTGACGGCTGTGCTGCTTCCGTGGGCAGAAGGTGGGATAGCAGTGGCACGTGTGGCCAGGGCCAGGTTGGGAGTGGAAGGTGCATACCTGCGTCAGGTGCATCCAGGTGGGGGGCGAGGAGGAAGAATCGGTGAGGATGCCCCCTGTCCCACCTCACAGGGCCTGTATTTGATTTCCAGCTTTGCTTCCCCACTCCAGCTTCCTGCTGGCCCACACCCCAGAAGCAGGAGTGATGGCGCGAGTGGTTGAGTCCCTGCTGCTGGTGCGGGAGACCTGGATGGAGTTTAGGGCTCTTAGCTTCACCCTCTCACCCTGCCCACCCCCTCCACTGGGAGCACCTGCTTGCACTCGCGTCCCCCTCCCCGCCCTGCCCCCCTCTGTCTCTGTTTCTGCTTGTCAAAAACAATTTTTTTAAGATTTATTTATTTATTTGAAAGGCAGAGTTAGAGAGAGAGAGAAAGAAAGAGAGAGAGGTCTTCCATCCATTGGTTCATTCCCCAGTTGGCCGCAACAGCCAGGGCTGTGCTGATCTGAAGCCAGGAGCCAGGAGCTTCTTCCAGGTCTCCCACGCAGGTGCAGGAGCCCAGGCACTTGGGCCATCTTCCACTGCTTTCCCAGGCCACAGCAGAGAGCTGGATCAGAAGTGGAGCAGCCGGGACTCGAACCAGTGCCCATATGGGATGCTGGCACTGCAGGGGGCGGCTTTGCCTGCTATGCCACAGCGCCGACCCCCAAAAAGAAATGTAAGAGATCACAGAGACCTTAAGAGAAAGGGATGGGAAATGCCCACAGAAGGGGACACAGAACTCGCAAGGCCTGGACTCGGGCGCGTTAGGGACTGAAAAGCCAGCAGGAGGAAGACAGTGTCTGTCTCTGTCAGTCTGTCTGTCCTGTGTGTACCCCCCAGCCCCCATCTTCCTCTCTCTGCCTCTGTGTCTGTTCCTCCTGTTCTTGGCTTCGCCCTGTGCCCGGCCAGGCCAGCTGTGGGGTCCCCACCTCTGCTGAGCACCCTCACCCCCGGTCCTGAGTCTCAGGAGGCAGGGACACGAGTGGGCAGCTTGGGTCAGTGCCTCACCGAGCACTGGACCTGCAGGGAACAAGGCAACTGCCAGCCGGCAACTTGATCGGGGCTGCCAATGGTTGGCACCAAGAGACCTGGACGGGGAGGCCTGGCACCAGGCCACAGCCCAGTGGGACCAGCTGTAGCTGTGGGGCCGAGAGATGGACCCCGGCAGGTGGCCCGGGTGCTTGCCAGGAGCACCCAGAGCTCCCTGGGGACACATGTACGGACCCTGAGGGGCAGCCCTCCGAGTTAAGACGCCGTCACAGGACCTGGCATTGTGGGTTAAGCCGCCGCTTGTAACGCCCACATCTCATATTGGAGCGCTGGTTCGAGTCCTGGCTGCTCCACTTCCCATCCAGCTCCCTGCTAATGCACCTGAGAAACAACAGACGCTTGGGAGACCCGGATGGAGTCCAGACTCCTGGCTTTGCCCTGGCCCAGCGCTGGCTGTTGTGGCCATTTGGGAAGTGAACCAGCAGATGGAGGATCTCTCTCTTCCTCCCTCTCTCCTCCCCTCTCCCCTCCTTCTCTCTCTGTCCTTCTTTTCAAAGAAAGAAATCTTGGGTTAAAAAAAAAAAAAAAAGGAAACAGAGAGAAACTGTAAGAGAAACCTCAGGGAAGGCCGGCGCTGTGGTGTAGCAGGTAACATGGCCGCCTGCAGTGCCTGCAGCCCTTAGGGGTGCTGGTTCGAGACCCGGCTGCTCCTCTTCCAATCCAGCTCTCTGCTGTGGCCTGGGAAAGCAGTAGAAGATGGCCCAAGTGCTTGGATCCCTGCATGCCCATGGGAGACCCGGAAGAAGCTCCTGGCTCTCGACTGGCCCAGGTCTGACCATTGCAGCCATGTAGGGATTGAACCAGTGGATGGAAGACCTCTCTCTCTCTCTCTCTCTCTCTCGGTCTTTAACTGTGCCTCTCAAATAAATCTTTAAAAAAATAAAAACAAGGGAGACCTCAGCAGTGCCTGTCCCCTGATGGAGGAGGGGTGCGGGGCCTCAGGAGGGCGGGGCCTCAGGAGGGCGTGGCGCTGTCTTGCAGGGAACATGAGCCGGCTGCACAACTCCATAGAGCCGCGCGTGATGGACGACGAGATGCTGAAGCTGGCCGTGAGCGAGCAGGGGCCCCGCGAGGAGGCCGGGCAGCTGGCCAAGCAGGAGGGCATCCTCTTCAAAGATGTCCTGACCCTGCGGCTGGACTTCCAGAGTGCGTGTCCATGTCCCCTGGTCCCCCCGCCCGGGGACGGGAGCAGCCGCCTTGCCCCTCCCCACCCTCCAGGAACCCACTGCGGGCCCCTGCACGGATGCGCTGAGGACGCCATACTTAGTGCCGTCGTTGTGTGACTGTCCACAGCACCCCTGACCTGATTGACAACAGAACAGATTAGAAACCCGTCCTGCTGCCAGTCTAAGCCCCGAGGGGACCCCACACTGGTGTGCAGCAGGGAGCTCCCAGCAGGTAGAAGCTAGGGGTCCTATGCAGCTGGCAGCTGGAGATAGGAAGCAGGGGCCCAGTAGCCTTGGTGGGGGGCGGGGGCGGGGGCGGGGGCGGGGTGGCTGAAGAAAGGGCAGGAAAGCAGGAGGGGGCAGGAAAGCAGGAGGGCGCAGGGCGCCTGAGGCCGAGAGGCAGCCCGTGGACGATGGGGCTGGGGACAGGTGGATCCCTCCCGCCTCGCGTCCCCAGCGGTGGAATGGGCGCCTGCAGCTCCCGACGGGAGACAGCCCAGCCGGGCAGAGCGAGGGCATTTCGAGAGGAAGCGGGGAGAGCTTTGCGGGGATCCTGAACCCCCCGTGCTTTGTGCACCTGCTCTGATCCTCATCCCTGCTCCGTCTTGAGCCCTCCAGGCTGCCCAGGCGCCCGGCCAGTAACCAACAGGGAGCGCCCCTCCCCCGTCCTGGGTGCTCAGCCTTCGCCGCCAGGGCACCTAGCTTCTTCCTCCAGGGCAGGGCGAGAGAAGGTGAGGCGTCTCGGGGCCGCCGTGCGCCGGCCCAGAAGCCCACGCGCCCCTCTCCTCTGGTCTTTGCAGACATCCTGCACATTGACAACCTCTGGCAGTTCGAGAACCTGCGCAAGCTGCAGCTGGACAACAACATCATCGAGAGGATCGAGGGCCTGGAAAACCTCGTCCACCTGGTCTGGCTGGGTGAGGCCCCTTCTGCGCATGCGTCTGCTCCCGCCCACCTGCCAAGGTTGTGCCGCGCCCCGCCCCGCCCCGCCTCCCCGCCTCTGCCCCCCACCCAGGGAGACGGCACTCTCATGCTTGACCCTCAGCTACCTGGGCAGGGCACGGTCCTTAGCCTGGGCACGGCTGCTGTCTTTCAAAAGACCCGGGATCCACACTGGACAGAGCACAGCACAGACGGGCCATTCTGCTCCCGCCCGCCGGCCTCCCAGGCTGGGCGGGGCGCTCAGGGGGCTGCTACAGACTCCTCCCCTTCAATTTCCACTTGGATTGACAGGTAGCCACTGACTGGCAGGGCCCCGGGAGCAAAGCAGCAATAGTCATCGCGGAAGCCGGTGGGCCTGTGCGTGGGCTCCGTGAGCTCCGTGACCCCACACAAGCACCCAGCACCCCCACTGTGCAGATAAGCAAACAGAGGTCACAGTGCCTAAGAGCGACATGGGCTCTGGCCCTCCCTGCCCAGGCCGGGGTGGGGAGGATGAGGCCGTTTGGATGAACAGGGGCCATGCACTGGCCTCCCAGGGGCATCTGGTGAGGGGCAGGTAGGCACCCAACAGGGAGAAAAGGATGGGCCTGCTGCGTTCCCACAACAACCCTAGGATACAGGTGCCTGGTACAGTCTACGCAAGAGGAGCCAAGGCTCAGAGAGGCCAAGGCGCGTGCCCAGAGCCAAGGACCAAGCAGTAGCAGTGCTGGGACTTGGACCCACACCAGTCTGACCCCAAAGCCCGTGTTCTTCCCGCCCCCAGCACACACACACACACACACACACACACACACACCTTACCCAGCATTCCTTACTGCTGATTCCTGGGCACGGTGGCCTGTCCACACCATCAGGAGGCCTCTCTCTCTCTAGCCAGCCCTGACCCACCGCCCCCACCCAAGGCCACCCTGCACGGGCCATCTGAATGCCACGGGTTGTTCTTTTTTTTTTTTTTTTTTCCTTTTAAAGTTTTATTGAGAGCTTCCATCTACAAGTTCTGCACCCCCCAGCACAGCGTCTGGGGCCGGGCTGGGCCAAAGCCAGGAGGCAAATGGGTGGCAGGAACCCACGGCAGGGACCTCCCAGGTCTGCATTTAGCAGGAAGCTGAGTCAGGACCAGAGCTGGGTGTGAAACCCAGGATCTCCACTGTGGGACGCGGGCATCTTAATTGGCACATTAGCCAGCAGCCCAGCCCCCACACCCACACGGGACACAGGGCCGAGGGTGCCAGGTGTGCCTAGTGTCCTGCGTCTGTGGGTAGCTTGGAATTGGCCACAGTGGGAGTGTGGACACCCACCCATCCCCTGGAACTGAGAAAGAACCACAAAGCAGGGCTTCCCCCAACCCCTGCTGTTAAACACTCACCACGCGTTCTTAGGGGCTGGGCCAGACCCCTCAAGAGTGTAGTGAAGCCGCTGCCTGGGACACCAGCCTCCCACGTGAGAACCAGTTCTGCTCCACTTCCCATCCAGCTCCCTGCTAATGTGCCTTGGAAAGGCAGCAGAAGATGGCCCAAGTGCCTGGGCCTCTACCATGCAGCCCGAGCTGTTGCAGCCATTTGGGGAGTGAACCAGTGGATGCAGCCAGAGGCAGGCATCAAACACGTGATGTGGACATCTTAACCTGCATCTCTCTCTCTCTCTCTTAGATTTATTTAGGCAGAGAGAATCTTCCATGCATTGATTCGTTCCCCAAACCAATCCAAAGCCAGGAGCTTCTTCTGGGTTCCCCAACAAGGTCTTGGAACATCTACTGTAGCAGAGAGCTCTGTTGGAAGTGGAGCAGCCAGGACTCGAACCGGCGCCCTATGGGATGCCGGCGCTGCAGGCGGTGGCTTTACCCGCTGCGCCACAGCGCTGGCCCCTAACCTGCCTCTTAACCATCGGGCCAGCTGCCTGCCCCTGCCGACTTGGAACTGACTGCAGACATCGCCTCAGTTTCTGTGCTGTGCTATCTGCAGCAGGTCGCCAGGGGGCGCCGTTGAGTCCCAGTTCCCTCATCTGCGGTGGGATGACGACACCTGTGCTATGAGGATTAAATAAGGCGGTGCCAGTCCAGGGCCTGGCACAGAGCAGGGGACAAGGAGATGTTGGCAGTGTCACCCGTGCACAGATGGGCGTCGCGGACATGCAGACGAGACCAATGACGCCGGGGTTAAGCTGACTCCCAACTCACCCTTGCAAAGTGAGTGCTTGTCTGAGGATTGTCCGTACTGCCAAGCTCAGGACAAATCCCCAGTGCCGGCTGCTGGCCCACTGGCCTCCTGCACAGGGTTACAACCCCAGCCACCAGCCAAGCCCGAAAGCTCGTGCCAGATGGGTTCCAGGACCCCCTGAGGTCACATCCCTGGATGCTCAAGTCCCCTGTGTAGAATGGCATAACACAGGGCCAGCGCTGTGGGGCAGCAGGTTAAGCCACTATCTGCAGTGCCAGCATCCCATAGGTTCGCCAGTTCAAGTCCTGGCTGCTCCACTTCTGATCCTGCTCCCTGCTAATGGCCTGGGAGAACAGTAGAAGATGGCCCAGGTGCTTGGGCCCCTGCACCCATGTGGGAGACCTGGAGGAAGCTCCTGGCTCCTGGCTTCGGATTGGCACAGCTCTGGCCGTTGCGGCCATTTGGAGAGTGAGCCAGCAGAGGGAAGACCTCTCTCTCTGTCTCTCCCTCTCTCTGTAACTCTGCCTCTCAAGTAAATAAATAAGAATAAATAAATCTGAGGGGGGGAATGGCATAACAGGAGGACACTTCAAAAAGTTAGTGGAAAAGTGAAATTAAAAGTTTCGGAGTCAGGATGTAGCCTTGCAGTGAGACACCTGCATTGTTGCCAGGCTCCACCCCCCACCCCAGTGCCCTCCCAGTGCGGCCTCTGGGGGCAGTGGTGACGGCTCAGGTAGTTGGACCTCTGCCAGCCACCTAGAAGACCTGGACTAAGTTGCTGACTCCAGGCTTCAGCCTGGCCCAGCTTTGGCCCAACCCAGTCCTGATCATTGTGGGCATTTAGGGAGGAGACAGCAAATGGTAGTCTCTCTTTTGCCTCTCAGATAAATAAATTGGTGTTTAAAAAGATACCTTTATCTTGGGGCTGGTGTCCTGGCACAGTGGGTTAAGCCGAGGCCTATGTCACCAGCATCCCGTATTGGAGTGCTGGTTCCAGTCCTGGCTGCTCTGATCCAGCTGCTGCAAATGCACCTGGGAAAGCAGAATAGGCCCAAGTGCTTGGGCCCCTGCCACCCGTGTGGGAGACCCAGATGGAGTTCCAGGCTTCTGTTTTCAGCCTGGTCCAGCCACAGCTGTTGCAGCCATTTGGGGAGTGAACCAGCAGATGGAAGACCTCTCTTTGTCTCTCTCACCCTCCTCCCACCATCATTGTGCCTTTCAAACAAATAAGATAAATCTGGGGTGTTTTTTTTTAAAAAAAAAAACACTTTATTTGGTGTAAATAATTTTTTAAAGATTTATTTATTTTATACAAAAGAGTTACACACACACACACACACACACACACACACAGGTCTTCCATCCGCTGGTTCACTCCCCAGATGGCCACATCAGCTGGAGCTGCACAATTCATAGTCAGGAGCCAGGAGCTTCCTCCGGGTCTCCCACGTGGGTGCAGGGGTCTAAGGACTTGCGCCATCTTCCACTGCTTTCCCAGGCCACAGCAGAGGGCTGGATTGGAAGTGGAGCAGCCGGGACTCGAGCCGGTGCCCCTATGGGATGCCGGCACTGCAGGCGGCAGCTTTACCCACTACACCACAGCGCCGGCTCCATCCGTGAACTTCTTAAAGTACCCTTATATTTGTGTGTAACTTACACCCATCCTTCCGAGTACTTTAAATTATCTCTGGATTACTTCACAATACCTAAGCGGGGTAGATGAGATGCACACACACAGAGCACTGGATAAACCCGGAATTGCTACGCGGGTGGGAGGCCTGAGGCTAGGAGGGCGTCCCTGAGCCCATGGTCTGCGGCTGAGCTGCTGTTCTCGTCGGAGCTCTGACCCAGCGAGCGCCGCCCACAGGGGTGATGTGGTGAGCGTGTGAGGCTTCCAGAAATAATCGCAGGCTTTGCCCCGGGGGTGCGGGGGGCGCGCCGCTTGCTGCCGGCCCGCGGAGCACCAAGTCCCCTTGATGGCCTCGCTCGCGGAGCGCCCACCGCCCAGCCCAGGCACCGGACAGCAAAGCCTCTTCACAGATCCGCCCCTTCCCTTCCCCCAGATCTGTCCTTCAACAACATCGAGGTCATCGAGGGCCTGGACAGCCTGGTGAACCTGGAGGACCTGAGCTTGTTCAACAACCGGATCTCCAGGATCGACTCCCTGGACGCGCTGGGCAAGCTGCAGGTGCTGTCGCTGGGCAACAACCAGATCGACAACATAATGAATGTGAGTGGCCGACACGCACACACCCGTGCGCATGCGCGGGGCTCGGACAGGGCGGGGTCTGCCGCGTGGGCAGGTGCGCCTGGAGCATCGCAAGTCTTCTCCCCCCTACCCCTAACCCACCTCCGCGTCACTTGACAAGCCGGCTTAGTCCACCAGGGACCCGATCGTGTTGGGACAGCACGCTTCACAAAATCTGTCCGTGGCTGCCCGTTCACAGCCTTTGCCACGGCAACGTCTCATTCTGCCCCCTCGGTCTCTGGCTCATTTAGCCAACGTTTGCCTGCTGGGTGCACTTGCTCTGTTCTCAGTGGGGACAGAGCCGGACAAGGCGGGTTCCCCTCGGGGCTGACCAGCCCACAGGTTAAAAGAACCCCTGGTGTCCCGTGTCCGCGGACGCCGGGGGCATCTGTGCGACACTGACAGTGGTCATCTCCAGGGAAGGCTGGTTGGCTGCCCCTGCCCTCCCCACAGGGGGCTCCCAGCTCAGCAGGCTGGGGCTGAGACCGCCCCCCCCAATAGCTGGGGGTCTGGCAGCCTCGGGAAGGGGCCCACATCAGAGGTGACCCAACAGAGACCTTCCCCTGTGGTTCCTGGCCAGGGACCCTGGGAGCTGCCCCGAATTCCATTACTGCTTGGGTCAGATGGATGGCCTGGGCTGGAATCCCAGCTCTACGTGAGGCTGACTGAGATGGATGGCCCGGGGCGGCAGGGGAGGAGGTCAGTCACCCAGATGGTCCCTATACGTAAATCCATCCATCCGACGGGGCAAATCCTGGAGGCAGTGTAGTCTCAGTAGTCTGCCCTGTAAGCCCCGTGGAAGCCAGCGTGCTTGTCGGGGGTCCAGAACTGGCTGTACAGCCTGCCCCCTCCCTGCTCTGCTGGGGTGAGGGTGGGGGTGGGGGAGATCCACCGTGGACCAAGGACATGGCCTTGGATCAAGGGCTGAGATTTTAGCCACCTCCCAGCTGTCTGAGCTGGGGCCAGCGTCCACTTGCCCATCTGTGAAATGGGCTCAGCCAGTAGAGCTGTAGCGAGGACCGAGTGGACCCCAGAGTGTTCAGTACCTGACATGTGTGAGAGGCAGGGTTGCTGGTTCCCAGAGTCGGGGAGAGAGAAGGCCCCTAGGGAGAAGCGGCCAGGGCCAGAAGCTCCTGCGGCCAGGCTGCACCCGGGGTCCTGGAGACCCCTGGTTGTCTCCACCTAGCTGTATCTGAGTGCCTGGCTTTGGGTCCTGGCTCTGCTGTCAGTTCCAGCATCTTATGCTGTGCAGCCTGGGAGGGTGGGCAGGTGACGGCTTCCGTGCCGCGTACGTGGGAGACCCGGATGGAGCTCCTGGTTCCCGGCTTCAGCCTGGCCCAGCCCCTGGCTGTTGCTGCCATGTGGGGAGTGAAAACAGTGAATGCAAGATCTGTGTGTGTGTGTACGTGTGTGCGTGCGCCTTTGAAAGGCAGAGAAAGAGAGGGGAGGGGAGAGAGAGCGAGCTCTCCTCTGCCAGTTCACTCCCCAAATGGCCACAACAGCCGAGGGGAGGGCCACATCGAAGCCAGGAGCCGGGAGCTCCACTCAGATCTCCCACTTGAGTGACAGGGATCCAAGCGGGTGCTTCCCAGGCGCAGGGGCATGGAACCGGATCAGAAGCAAAGCAGCCGGGACTCAGACACTACTCCTGTGTGGGGTCCCCAGACAGCATCTTAACCCATGAGCCACAGCGCCCATTTCAAAACACGCAGACTTTGAAGCAAAATTCAAGGCCCCCACGAAAGAGCCTCTGTTACCCCCTCACCCTCTGTACCTGCGTCCCTGGCCGAGACCACAGCTGCGGCCAGGCATCCTGGCTCTGTCCAGCTGCCCTCCAAGCCCCGCCCTCATGTCCCGTCTCCACCCCCGTTAGCAGCCCACTCCGCTGTCTGCGCGATATTCCGATGCCACGCGATGTACTTCCCCCGTCCCTCGGAGGTGGACGCTGAAGTTGCTCCAAGCTGGTGGCATCACACAGACCACCTCAGATGTCCTTGAACCCCAGGATGACCTCGAGCAGGGGTCACGTGTGCCTGGGTCAGCCCACATGTAAGATACACTCCCGGCGAGGGTTGCTGGACCGGAAGGCAGGTGCATCTTCAATCTGGACAGCTCTGCCAGCTCGGCCTCCGGGGAAGTGGAACCGTTTACAAACCCCCCGGTGTGGCCCGCTGCCTGTCAACTTTCTGTAGTGCGCTCGCTTCTGAGGCTTTTCTCTTTGCCTGCCAACAAGCTGAGAAATGGAATCTCACCGGGAGATCTCTAAAAAATGAAATCAGGCCCCGTCTTTTCTCATACACGCTTCGAACTCCACTGGCTTCCATCATCCTTAGAGCAAAATCCAAACCCTCGACCACAGCCTGCGTGGTTTTTTTTTTTTTTTTTTAAGATTTATTTATTTATTTGAGAGGCAGAGTTTCAGACAGACAGAGGGAGAGACAGAGAGAAAGGTCTTCCATCCGCTGGTTCACTCCCCAGATGACCACAATGGCCAGAGCTGGGTCGATCTGAAGCCAGGAGCCAGGAGCTTCTTCCAGGTCTCCCACGTGGGTAGCAGGGGCCCAAGCACTTGAGCCATCTTCTACTGCTTTCCCAGGCCACAGCAGAGAGCTGGATCAGAAGTGGAACAGCTGGGACTTGAACCGGTGTCCATATGGGATGCTAGCGCCACAGGTGGAGGCTTAGCCTACTGTACCACAGCACTGGCCCCAGCCAGCATGGTCTTACATGAACCAGCCCCTGACCTTGTCTCCACACTTGTATCAAGTCTTTCCTCCATCATACTGCAGCTGCCCCAGCCTTTCTCTGTTCCTGGTGTACCCTGAACTTGTCGCTGCCCCAGGGCCTTTGCCCGTGCTGTTTTGGGTCTTGAGAAAGTGCTCTCCTTGCACTACCACCACTGGCTCCCTCCCGTCTCCCATAAATGCCACCTCTCACGGTCGGTGCTGTCTTTACGTTCCTTGTAGCATTTTGCCTAGTCTGTGATGATGCTACTTAATTTTAAAACACTCCCAGCACCACCCACCGTGTAAGCTCTGGGGTCCACGTGGGCTTTGGTCTCCCTGGGCACACACCTGAGGCTTGCTGCCTGCTTGGTCGTGTCTGCTATTTACTGTGACTGACGGCCTTGGGCGCAGTTCCGACACTGGGCGCTGGGAGGCGCTGTGCGCTGCGGTTCCAGCGCAGCTGCGCATGGCTGTCTCCCGCTGGCTGGCCGCCGGTCTTGATCCATTCGATGGATGAGATGGGGTGGGGGTGGGGGGGGGGCATCCACGAAGCCCTGCCCCGAGGGCCCACAGACGACAACCACCACAGCCCTAACTTGGCTTCTGTGTCTGGATGTCAGGCGCCTTTCATCTGGGCCTTGCTTTACGACGGCTGTAACACACGTAACATCCCTCCGCTCGTTCCTCATTCTACAGGCACTGAGGCTTAGGGGAACTTGCCCAAGGCCCCATAGCTGGGATTGGAGCTCCCGTCTGTCCGTGCCTGATCCAATATCTCAGGGCACTACCTAGTCCCCTACCTGCAGGCCTGGACCCCCACCCACCCACTCTGCACCTGTGCCCCGCCGCCTGCCCTGCCTGAGGCCTGAAGGTGCCAGGGCCCTCCCGGGTGCAGGGAGAAGGCGGGGGTGTGTTTCCAGGCAGCCAGGACGGAGCGTCCTCTCCTCCCCAGCTCGTCTACCTGCGGCGGTTCAAGTGCCTGCGCACGCTCAGCCTCGCCGGGAACCCCATCGCCCAAGCGGAGGACTACAAGATGTTCATCTACGCCTACCTGCCTGACCTCGTGTACCTGGACTTCCGGCGCATCGGTGACCACATGGCACGTGTCTTCCCCCTCCCCCATCCCCGTGGGGTCCCGCAGCACCTGCGTGGGTGCCCTCTCGCCCAGGCTCCCAGCAACCAGGGCTCCCCCATCTCTGCGCATTGTCCCAAGGCCACCTCGCAGCCACTGTGTGGTTTCCTAAAGGAAACAGTGGAGAGGGCTCCCCCCTACCCCCTGCACCCTGGTCTCTGTGACCCCGGGAGCAATATTAAGAGCTAGCTGTTGTTGGGCGTTCATCAATCAAGCCCATGGCGCAGTCTCACCACCAGCCAGCCGGGACCCCGCTGTCGTCCCAGTGGCGAAACTGGCGCTCAAGGGCGGGGACTCCAGTGGGCGGGGCTGGAGCTGGGAGTCAGTCCCTGTGAGTGAGCTGCCTGCCTGTGGGAGGGTCTTCCTGCTGCCCCCTGCCTGCCTCCCTCCCCCCACATCCCCTGCTGTGAAGCCCTTGCTTCTCACTCTGGGCCGCGCCATCCATTGTGGGAAGGGGTGGCAGGGGGAGGGGGGTACTGACCCACTGGGACTGGGGTGGCACCTTGAGTCGGGCCAGCTGACCTGCCTGCTGGTACCTGTCCTGCAGACAGGAGCTGTGTTGAGGAGCACTAAAATGACCCCCCCGGGGGGGGGACACCTGGAGAGGCAGGCAGGAGGGTGGGCCCCCAGCCTCAACTCTGAGCCCCTAGAACCTACAGTGAGCGGAGCCCCCTCTCTCCTGGGTGGGCCAAGGTGCCGTCCAAGCACCGCTGTGGAGGCTTAGAGAGGAGGTGACCTCAAGGGGAGTGCCCTCCTCCCGCCACAGGCTCTCTCTTGTCCCTGCATGGGACTGGAAGCTGAGACTGCAGCTGTATCTATTTTATTTATTTTATTAAAAAGATTTATGTGTTTATTTGAAAGTCAGAGCTACACAGAGAGAGGAGAGCCAGAGAGAGAGAGAGAGAGAGAGAGGCCTTCCATCCGCTGGTTCACTCCCCAATTGGCCTGATCTGAAGCCAGGAGCCAGAGCTTCTGCCAGGTCTCCCATGTGGGTGCAGGGGCCCAAGCACGTGGGCCATCCTCCACTGCCTTCCCGGGCCACAGCAGAGAGCTGGATCGGAAGTGGAGCAGCCAGGACTAGAACCGGCGCCCATATGGGATGCGGACACTGCAGGCGGCAGCTTTATCTGTGATGCCACAGCACTGCCTCACCCCTTTTTTTTATTTTAAAGATTTATTGGTTGATTTGTTTCTTTGGAAGGCAGAGTTACAGAAAGACAGAAGAGATTTCTCATCTGCTGGTTCACTCCCTAAATGGCTTGCAAACAGGCCAAAGCCAGGAGCCGGAAACTCCATCCGGGTCTCCCACGTGGGTGGCAGGGGCCCAAGCACTTGGGTCATGTTCCGGTTCCCCAGGTGCATCAGTAGGGAGTGGAGCAGCTGGGGCTCACGCGGGATGCTGGCATCGCAGGCCAGTGCTTGACCCGCTGTGCCCGCTGAGCCACAGCACGGGCCCCGGAGCCAGTTTTAAAGGCAACAGTGCTCTCAGATGCCTGGGTTGGCCACATACCTGTTTGAGTGTGCTCTTCTTGTTATGAAACCATGGGGCACCTTGGACCTGCACCTATAGAGAGCATAAAATCTGCTCTCTTTATAGTAATAAAAACATCATAAAAATAGGACAGAGGCAAGTGTTAGCTATAAGTTGTTTGGGGCGCCCGCATCCCATATCGGGAGCCCCGGCTACTTCCCTTCTGATCCAGCTCCCTGCCAATGCCCATCCCAGGAAAGCAGCGGAAGACGGCCCAAGTACTTGGGTCCCTGCCACCCACTGGGAGACCCGGATGGAGTTCTGGGCTCCTGGTTTCAGTCTGGCCCAGCGCTGGCTGTTAACAGGCATATGGGGAGTGAACCAGCAGATGGAAGATGTCTTTCTCTCTCTCTCTCTCTCTCTCTCTTTCTCTCTCTCTCACTGCCTTTCAATGTTTTTTATTTTAAAATCTAACAATAAAAGAATTTAGAAAAGAAAGCCTCTCACTGAGCAGTGCCCCAGCCCCCCCCCCAGCACAGCAGGGGTCGGGGGCTGGGGGATGAGGGGCAGGGGAGGGCGCTCAGGGTCCCAGAAGCAAACCAAGGCCCCCTCCAGACTCAGACCCTCGCCTAGAATCATCCGGACAAATCGGAAACGAAACCCAGGCTCTTGAAGGGGCCTTCTCAGCTCCCTAATTTCCCTGGGACCCCTCAGTCAACCTTGCCTTGTGAAGGGGTCTGTCTGGCCCGGCCCCCTCCCCCAGCCCACGGCAGGGAGGGAAGTGGTGGTGGTGGGGACATCCAGGCGAGCTCCGCTAACGGTGCCACCTGCTGTTCTCCGGCCAGAAAGAGCTCGCAGAAGCAAAGCACCAGTACAGCACGGACGAGCTGAAACACCGGGAGCACCTGGCGCAGGCCCGGCTGGAGGCCGAGCAGGCCCAGCGCGCGGAGCTGGAGGCGCACAAGGTCTCTCGCGGACGGACACGTTCAACGCAGGCCCGCCGGGATCCCTGGGCGCCCTGGGAGAAATCGTGCCCCACGCACAGGCCACGAAGCCCGCCCCGCCCCGCCCCCCTCCCTGGGGCTGGCTCCAACCACAGCGCAGACTCCCGGTCGGTCCTGTCCCGCGCTTGCTGGCGTACCCCTGCGTCCAACACTCTGGGCTGCGAGAGGGTGCTACAGTCTTGCGCCTTAAGACCCTCGGGCAGACGTCCCCTCCCCACACACCCTCCACCACGGCATGGCATGCCAGAAACAGGCTGAACATGGCCTCCCGCCATGAGCCCCACCCCTCCGTGCAGCCAGACCGAAGCAGCCTCGCACCTGCTGTTCCTTCTGCCTGGGAGGCACCCCTCCACCACCCCCTCCCGCCGCCCCTCTACCTCGGAGAGGGTTGAAGCCCAAGGGGTAGTGTCTGTGTTAGTGCCCAGCCGGGGGGCCGTGCCCAGCGCGTCCTCCCTGGAGCCCGCCTGGGTCACCGCGGGGCCCTGTTTCTGCCCGCAGGCTGCCTTCGTGGACCGCCTGAACGACTCCTTCCTGTTTGACAGCATGTACGCTGAAGATGTGGAAGGCAACAAGCTGTCCTACCTGCCCGGCGTCGGGGAGCTGCTGGAGACATATCCGCCCCGGCTCTCGCCGCCTCTTGTCTGGCAGAGCCTGCTCACGGAGCCCCCAGCCCCTGCTGGGACTGTTTCCCCATCCTGGGCCAGGCTGAAGTCAGACGCCTGGACCTCCATCTGGGTTTTCCATGTCAGTGGCGGAGGCCCAAGCACTTGGGCTATCTTCTTTTTTTTTTTTTTTTTTTTTTTTTTTTTTTTTTTTTTGACAGGCAGAGTGGACAGTGAGAGAGAGAGACAGAGAGAAAGGTCTTAGAAAGGTCTTCCTTTGCCGTTGGTTCACCCTCCAATGGCCGCCGTGGCCGGCGCGCTGCGGCCGGTGCACCGCGCTGATCCGATGGCAGGAGCCAGGAGCCAGGTGCTTTTCCTGGTCTCCCATGGGGTGCAGGGCCCAAGCACCTGGGCCATCCTCCACTGCACTCCCTGGCCACAGCAGAGAGCTGGCCTGGAAGAGGGGCAACCGGGACAGAATCCGGTGCCCCAACCGGGACTAGAACCCGGTGTGCTGGCGCCGCTAGGCGGAGGAGGGCTATCTTCTTTTTTAAATTTTATTTATTTATTAGAAAGGCAGAGTTACAGAGATGCAGAGGCAGAGACAGAGAGAGGTTTCCCATCCATTGGTTCACTCCCCAAATGGCTGCAACAGCCGGAGTTGGGCTGATCTGAAGCCAGGAGCTTCTTCCGGGTCTCCCACACAGGTGCAGGCACCCAAGGACTTGGGTCATTTTCTGCTTTCCCAGGCCATAGCAGAGAGCTGGATCGGAAGTGGAGCACCTGGGACTAGAACCGGCGCCCATATGGGATAACAGCACTGTAGGCAGAGGCTTTGCCCTCTGTACCACGGCACCGGCCCCATGTTAAGTTGTTACAACAGAAGGTTCATGGATACCAGCAGTCACTGGGCGAGACTTGACACCTCAAGGCCTAAGCAGCCTGTTGTGTGGGGGTGGGGCTGGTGGAGCCGCTGTCCGGCAGGTGCTCTCGTGAAAGTGGCCCAGCGGGTGTGTGACAGTCCCTTTGATCAGGCACATCTTGCGCTGCCAGCCCCCCCCCCCCCCCGCCCCGCAGCCTGCCTTGGCTCTGCTTTGCCAAGGTATGACACGGATGACTCTGTTTTCAAATCTTGACAATTTTCCCAGTGGCAGTGGCGGGGCCAGGACTTGAACCTGGATCCTCCGCTTCCACCCCTGGCCCCTCCACCCCCACCTACCCCACCCCAGCACAGCTGAGCACCAAAACAGGCCCTCTGCCCAAGAGCCCATCTCGGTCACACACCAGAGACAACGCACACCACCTCATCCCCTGGCCAGGGCTGGCTCCTCGGGCTGCCAGCCCCTCCCTGTCCCGCCAGGTCCCCAAGCAGTCTGTTTGGGGCCTGCTCCGCCCTGTGGGTTCTGCCCGTGGTCCCCAGCTCCTTCCCCCACCAGGCCTCCGATGGTGGCGAGACCTCAGCCACACCATTACCCTCTGAATCTCCAGTGCCAGGTCTCTGGGCCCCTCAATGGCTTCCTCCATCAGACGAGACCCTGAGTTCGAGTCCTGCACACACACACGTTCAGCGTAGCAAGCCCTTGCACCCTTGTGGCCCTCCCCGGTGGCCTGCTCCAAGGGAGAGAGACGCTGCCCTGAGCTTCCTTAACGCCCACCCACCTACAAGGACAAATTTGTCACCATCTGCGTGAACATTTTCGAGTACGGCCTGAAACAGCAGGAAAAGCGGAAGATCGAGCTGGACACGTTTACTGAGTGCATCCAGGAGGCGATCCAGGAGAACCAGGAGCAGGGCAAACTCAAGATCGCCCAGTTCGAGGAGAAGCACTCGCTGGTAGGGCCCGCCCCTCCCGAAGCCGCAGCTCTGCGCCCGCCGAAGGGCTGCAGCACCTGTGCCCCTGCTGGCCCTTGCGGCCCAGGCCAGGGGGTCACGCAGCCGCGAGCAGCAGAGCCAAGGCCCAGCCCACTCACCGCCTCCCCTGCTGCTCCACTGTGGCCACGAAGGTGGGGCTGTGGCTCCATCCTATAACATGCCCAGGGGTTCAAGGTCATCCTCGCCCTGCATGACCTCATCTGTTAACTGTCGCTATTTTATTTTATTTATTTGTTTGGAAGGCAGAGTTCAAGAGGGGCAGAGAGAGAGAGAGAGAGAGAGAGGTCTTCCATCCGCTGGTTCACTCCCCCAAATGGCCACAATGGCCAGAGCTGAGCCAATTCAAAGCCAGGAGCCTGGATCTTTTTCCAGGACTCCCACGCAGGTGCAGGGGCCCAAGGACTTGGGCCATCTTCCACTGCTTTCCCAGGCCATAGCAGAGAGCTGGATCAGAAGTGGGGCAGCCAGGGGATGCCGGCACTGCAGGTGGCAGCTTTACCCGCTACACCATAGCGCCGGCCCCAGGACGTCCTTTTTTATTTATTTGAAAGGCGGAGCGGCAGAGAGAGAGGGAGAGAGACAGAGAAATCCCAGCCACTGCATCAAGCTCTCCAAACAGGGAGAGGAGCTTCCCAGGCATTTAAACAGGGAGCTGAATCAGAGCAGAGCAGCCAGGGACTGGAACTGGCGCTCGTATGGGGTGCCAGTGTCGCGACCCTGGCCCCACACTTGTGACGCCTCTTTTCTGGTCCCAGTGGCCATTGGGTTTAGGATGGCAGGGGGTCAGCCGGTCAGTGCTTCCTGGAGCAACAGGTACCTCTGGGGAAGCAGGAGCAGCTAGAACGGGGCTGATGAGGACTCTGCTCCCAGGGTCTGGAGTGGCTGCCTCCTCCTACAAGGCCACCAGGCATGAGCTGACTCGCCTGAGCCTGGGTCCAGGGCAGTGGAGCTTGCCCAGCTGCACAGAGCGGGCCTGGGGCCTGGCGCCCTCCTTGAAGGCCTTGTGGGCGTGGCCTGCGGGCACTGGGGCTGGCCAGAGCTCCCCAGGTGTTTCAGAGTCCACTGTCTGGGGAGATCCCAGGACCCACAGGCCCTGAAGGCCCCCTACCCCTCCCCGTTGCACGTAACACCTGCTGCTGGTACACAGTGACTCCCACAATGCTTGTGGCCCAGCTGCGCCCCGCAGAGCCGTTTTATTTTCTCCTGAGCAAGGCGAGCTGCACCTGTCCTCCAACCATCGCTGTCTCCTATTCTGTCAACTACGTCTGCCTGTGTTTGCCCTTACCCATTTTTTTTTTCTATTTGGTTTTTGGTTTCTCGGTCTTTCTCACTCTCTGTGCCTCTTTCTTTAAAAAGAAAAAAAATTACCATATAGGAGTGCTTTAGAGATTTCCAGGTGAGCCCTGTCTCCGTGAGATGAGTCGCAAACATTTCCCCCACTTTGCTGTTCGTCTTGCCATCTTGTCTGTGTTGCATCTCACCATTGCGATTTTTATTGCAATTTTCACTTTATTTGAAGCAGGGTGGGGACAGAGAGAGAGCTTTCACGTACTGCAGGGGTGAGGAACATCCAGCCCAGGGGCCACACAAGGCCCTCGAAATCATGAAGTCTGGCCTTGCCGAGGCAACCATAGGCAGGACTCAAAATCCAGTCGATCTATAGCAGGCTAATTAATTTCATATGGGCCATGAGTGATATTACAAATACCCAAAAGGCCCTTGGCAGAAAAAAATGTCCCCCATCCCTGCTGCTAGTTCCCTCTCCAAATGTCCCCTCAGCCAGGTATGGGTCTGGCTGAGTTGGGATCTCCCACGCGGGGCAGGGACCCACGTGCTGTATCGGTCACCAACAGCTCCCCAGGGTGTGTATCAGCAGGAAGCCGGATCAGAAGGGGAGTAGCTGGAACTCGAACCTAGCACTTGGGTATGCGAGGTGGGCACCCCGAGCAGAGACTCAACTCCTGCACCCAGCACCCACCTGGCCACTCAGTGTTAATTTTTTTAACGTGCTATTTGTCAGTCTGTTTTGCTGCTAGTATTCGGGAAGGAATTCTTCACTCAGAGATCATTGGAAAAACCCCGTGTTCTTCTATTAGCCCTTCCATGGTTTGCTTGCTTTCTTTCTTTTTTTTTAAAGATTTATTTGAAAGAGCTACACAGAGAGGAGAGGAGAGAGAGAGAGAGAGAGAGAGAGAGAGAGAGAGAGAGAGAGATCTTCCATCCATTGGTTCCCAATTGGCCGCACTAGCCAGGGCTGCGCTGATCCAAAGCCAGGAGCCAGGAGCTGCTTCCAGGTCTCCCACATGGGTACAGGGGCCCAAGGACTTGGGCCATCTTCTACTGCTTCCCCAGGCCACAGCAGAGAGCTGGATTGAAAGTGGAGCAGCTGGGACTCGAACTGGTGCCCATTTGTGATGCCGGCGCTGCAGGCAGTGGCTTTACCCGCTATGCTACAGCGCCGGTCCCCCATGGGTTTATGTCTTTCATGGGAATCTTCCCTCCCATCAGGTCAGGGAGCCAGCTCTGTCTTTCTCCCGATGGGGAAACCATGATGAGAACAGCGCTCATCCCTCCGAATCACGCCCAGTTACTCTGTCCTCCTGCGGGACTGACGCCAAGCATCCACGAGACAAGTGGACGTGGCACCTGGCACCAGGGGCGTTCCGGGCCTTCCCTGGTGACAGCTGGCATTCAGTGCCACCCTCAGCCTGGCTCGTTCTCTCCCCGCCAGAGCACCCTCTCCCTTCAGACGGGTCCAGGATCCACGTCTCCCACTTGCCCCCTGGGGTTCCCTGTGGGTGCGGCTGCCTCTTCCCTGTCCAGCACCTCTCCTGACCTGTGCCTGCTATAGGAGCCCCTGGAGCCCACGGTGTGTGCCAGGCCTCCCGCACAAGGCCCATGGTCCCCAGGACCCTGTGAGCGCAGGAAGCCTGGGAGACGCTAAGCGGCCGTGCCAAGCTTACACTGCACATCGTGGGCTCGGCTCCACCTGACTCCGATATTACAGGACAGACAAAATTGCTTGTCTGCCCTCTTTGGGGGGAGGGGTCTCTGACCAGGACCAAGAATGAAATACCTTGAGGACCAGGTGTCATGTTAGTAGCAGGTTAAGTCACCGCTGGAGTCAGGCTATCACGTATCAGGGTACCTGGTTCGAGTCCCAGCTACTTCACTTCCAGTCCAGTTCCTGCTTGTGCTCACCTTGGGAGTCAGCAGCAGCTGATGGCTCAAGTGCCGGCGTCCCCATCACCCGTGCGGGAGACCTGGATGGCATTGCAGGCTCGTGCCATCAGCCTGGTCCAGCCAGGGCTGTTGGGGGCATTTAGGAGTGCACCAGTGGATGGAAGATTCCCTCTCTCTCTCTCTCTCTCTCTCTCTCTCTCTCTGTCTCTCTCTGTGTGTGTCTCCCTCAAGTAAATAAAAGCAAATACATTTTTTTAAAAAATGCAATCTGGCCGACACCGCGGCTCACTAGGCTAATCCTCCACCTAGCGGCACCGGCACACCGGGTTCTAGTCCCGGTCGGGGCGCCAGATTCTGTCCCGGTTGCCCCTCTTCCAGGCCAGCCCTCTGCTGTGGCCTGGGAGTGCAGTGGAGGATGGCCCAAGTGCTTGGCCCTGCACCCCATGGGAGACCAGGAGAAGCACCTGGCTCCTGCCTTCAGGTCGGCGCAGCACTGGCCGTGGTGGCCATTTGGGGGTGAACCAACGGAAGGAAGACCTCTCTCTCTGTCTCTCTCTCACTGTCTAACTCTGCCTGTCCAAAAAAAAAAAAAAAAAAATAGCAACCTGCACGAGACAGATGAAGAGGGGAAAAGCATACACATTTTATTCCATGATGTGCACATGTACATTTTATTTAGTGATCTCTATATTACGCACCAGAGTAACGGGAAGACCCAAAGACACAGCTGGGGCTGGAATCTTAGCACAAAATTGGACAAAGAGCCGCACCCTGTGAAAACGACCAAAACAGTGTGGTTAGACCAGGGCCGGGCACGGCGGCGCAGGACCAACGGACAGAGAAGGCTCACGTGTGCAGTGGTCCCTTGGCCCCCCGCCTCCAAGCTCTGGTTGCTGGGGACAGCAATGGCTTCTTCTTGGGGCACAGGAAAGGGCACGTCTCACCTGCTCTTTCAAGGTAAAAAAGTGGAGGAGACAGATGACTTCTTGCAGCTGCAGTCTTCAAGTGTCTTCGGCTCAAAAGCGATCCACATGGCAAAGTGGTGTGGCGTAGGGGGTTGCAGCTCAGAAGCCCCCCGAGCCCCGGCACCTTCCACCTGGCCCTGCTCGCAGGGACAGAAACCGCACGCGAGCAGCGGCGAGCCCCGGTTGGTGCCCGTGAGCCTGTGCTTCAGCATTCCCCCCCCTTTTTTTTTTTTGACAGGCAGAGTGGACAGTGAGAGAGAGAGACAGAGAGAAAGGTCTTCCTTTGCCGTTGGTTCACCCTCCAATGGCCGCCGCGGCCAGTGCGCTGCGGCCGGCGCACCGCGCCGATCCGATGGCAGGAGCCAGGAGCCAGGTGCTTTTCCTGGTCTCCCATGGGGTGCAGGGCCCAAGCACCTGGGCCATCCTCCACTGCACTCCCTGGCCACAGCAGAGGGCTGGCCTGGAAGAGGGGCAACCGGGACAGAATCCGGCGCCCCGACCGGGACTAGAACCCGGTGTGCCGGCGCCGCAAGGTGGAGGATTAGCCTAGTGAGCCGCGGCGCCGGCTAGCATTCCCCTTTTACAGACAGGGAAACTGAGGCAGGAGAGAGGGCCGGTGGCTTCTGCAAGCTCGCAGGGCTGGCACCTGCCGGGGTGGGGGGGGAACCTCAGCTCTCCCGCTGCGGCTGGCTCAGGCCCTGGCTTTGTCCCGCAGAGCCTAAGCAACATCCGCGAGGCATCAGAGCTGCCCACCGCGGAGAGGATCGCGGAGTGCGACCAGGACATCACCGAGCTGTTCAACGCGCTCATGACCCTGGAGATGCAGCTGGCGGAGCAGCTGGAGGTGAGGCGGGCCGGGGGGGATGGGCGGGCGCAGGTGCCACCTGGTCCCGCAGCTGCGCGCGCACCTGTGACCCGCAGACCACCCACCCACCCTGGGCGCGCGCCCCTGTTGCACACTCGGCGCCTGCCAGCCCGGCGTCTGCTTTTCGTCCATTTAAAAAACTCAGACGGGAAGGGGTCCTTGCAGGGGAACTGAAGAGTGAGCCCCTTCCCACATCACCTTCTCCCCCACATCCTGGGAGAGCCCCGAGCCTCCTCCGTGGGGAAGGGTTTCTGATGCGACCTCAGGAGCGGGGCCGGGTGCCCACGAGACCAGGCGGGCCACCCCACCCCCACTCTCACGCGCGCGCACGCAGCTTGGGGACCAGACCGAAGCACCTGCCGCTCAGCACGCGGTAGAAATGATACCGGATGGCTGCTGGAGCAGCCGGGCGAGCCTCGCGTGTTCCCCGGGAGGAGGAGCGCGGGCCCGGAGTGGGAAGGGATGTGACAATGACTGGAACCTCATTAGGGGCTGCCACGGCTGGGCCAAGAGGTAGCGCCGAATCGATACTCAAGTGATTCCTCCGCCGCTGGGGGATGGATTCCCCCCTTCCCGTCCCAGGCAGAGGCTGGCTCGCCCCCCAGCTGGGGACTTGCAAAGGCAGCTGAGCGCTGGCCGGCTGGCGGCCCTGGGGAGGGCTGGGCCGCGGCTCTCCCACGCAGTCCAGGCAGGGAGACCACGTTCCAACATCCACGTGTCTCCCGGAGCCCAGGCACTGCCCCATTTGTGTTACCAGGAAGCGGCTGGGCCTGCAGACCCGCGCTCGGCCCCCTCCCCCCTCCCCTGTGCACCTGCACCAGCTGCGGCCCACCGCGGATCAGGCGGGGCGGGGGGGGGGGTGTCCGCGCTCCAGAGGGAGCCAGCAGAAGTCCCCACGTAGGCCTCTGTGCCCTTCTAAGCGCAGGAAGCAACACTGATGGGGAGAGTTCTGGGGTAACAGCCAGCGCTCATGGCGGGGGGGGGCACTCTGCTCAGCAGCCTGCAAAGCATTCTGTGGGGAACCCATTTCACAGATGAGGAAGTCGAGGCTCGGGGAGGTCAGATGACTTTCCCAGAGTCACACACAGTGGTGGAGCTGGGACGCGGCCCCTGAGGGCTGCCTCCAGCGTTTGTCTGTTGAGTGTGTGTGTGTATGGGGGGGGGGGGTTGAGAGGAGTCAGGCTGTGACAGGTGGGCCCGGCACAGGGCACCGACATGACACTTCGGAGGGTGCTGGCGATGAGTGAGTCGGGCCTGAGAGGGCACGGTGGCTGGTGTGTGAGCGGGCAGGCGGCTGCTCGGTCCCCAGGGTGTTTATGCCGTGGTGCTGGGCGTCTGAAGACGCACAGTGACTCTGCGTTCTCATTTCCAGGAGACCATAAGCATGTTTGAGAGGAACATTGTCGACCTGGTGGGGCTCTTCATTGAGAACGTGCAAAGCCTATATCCTAGCTGCTGCGGCCCAGGGTAGGGAGGGCTGCCCTGGCCTCCAGGGGGAGTGAGGGCCAGGAAGGGTGAAGCAAACCCAGCAAGGACCCCTTGCCGGCAGCGTCTGCAGGGTCATGCCCTCACCCCTCCCACCCAGTGCCCTAAGCTCCTCCCAATCAGTATCTTAGGCACCTCCCACTCAGTGCCCTAGGCACCTCCCACCCAATGCCTTAAGCTCCTCCCACTCAGTGCCCTAGGCACCTCCCACCCAGTGTCTCAGAGACCTTCCACTCAGTGTCCTAAGCTCCTCCTACCCAGTGTCCTAGGCACCTCCCACTCAGCCCCCTAAGCTCCTCCTACCCAGTGTTTAGGCACCTCCCACCCAATGCCCTAAGCTCCTCCCACCCAGTACCCTAGGTACCTCCCACCCAGTGTCTTAGAGACCTTCCACTCAGTGCCCTAAGCTCCTCCCACTCAGTCCCCTAGGCACCTCCCACTCAGCCCCCTAAGCTCCTCCCACTCAGTCCCCTAGGCACCTCCCACCCAGTGTCTTAGAGACCTTCCACTCAGTGCCTTAAGCTCCTCCTACCCAGTCCCCTAGGCACCTCCCACCCAGCCCCCTAAGCTCCTCCTACCCAGTGTCCTAGGCACCTCCCACCCAGCCCCCTAAGCTCCTCCCACTCAGTCCCCTAGGCACCTCCCACTCAGCCCCTTAAGCTCCTCCTACCCAGTGTCTTAGGCACCTCCCACCCAGCCCCCTAAGCTCCTCCTACCCTGTGGGCAGTGAAGGCGATGAAGCCACCTTTGGCCCTGGCAGCCTGGCCCTGGCTGAGCCACTCGGCCTGCCATGCACCTGCTAGAGCCCCTACCCCCGCCCCGGCCGCCACCCCAGGGGCACAGGGCAGCCCCGGCCAGCTGTCCTGGGACCTTTGCTTGACTCCCGGCGGGACGATGGCGCAGTGTCGGGACCTGGAGAACCACCACCACGAGAAGCTGCTGGAGATCTCCATCAACACCCTGGAGAAGATGGTCAAGGGCGAGCCGGACGAGGACCTGCCCGACGACGTGCGAGCGGTGAGTGCGGCCGCGGGGGAGGGCCCCCCCCCAGACAGGAAGCCCGCAGCAGGTGCCCGGTGGGGGCGCCGTCAGCCAAGGAGGGCGCGAGGAGGGGGTGGCGTCAGTTTTCCAGCAGGCCGGGGCTTCTGGAACTTTCTACAAGACACCACTACAAACGTGTCGCGTCTGAGGTGGCCCCCGCGTGCAGGTCGTCTTACTTTTAGCAGCACAGTTCCTGATGCAACGGGACGTTCTCCCGCTTCCCACCGGCCCGGTCCAGGGATGGACGTGGGCAGGAAGTGAGAGGCAGCCCAGGCTCCCCGCTCCTTGCCCAGGGCCTGTGCATGGGCGGGCCCAGCCGCGGCCACAGCCCTGGCCTGTGTGTGTGTTTGGGACAAAGCCCAGGCTTTGACGGGAAGGGCCCGGGGCCTGGAAGGTGTCCCGGCATGCCTGCTGCTGGCATTCCACATTCTCAGCTTCTCTCCCCCTGCCCTGCTGGTCACGCCAGAGCCAGTCACCGCCACCCTGTGCGTTCAGCCCCAGAAGAACCCTCTCGGGCTGCCCTCCAGCCTGTGACACTGTTGCCTGCTAATGGCTTCCTGTGGCTCCTAGATCAAGCTCTTCCTGCAACCCACCACACGCCGATGACCAGGCCTGCCCTGCGTCAGCAACTGCCTCTCGCCCTTCTCATGCCCGGTTCCCAGTGCCCCGGCCTGAGCCAGTCCCATCTCCCGGGACAGCTGAGAGTCCAGCTCTCCGGTGTGCTCTTCCTGTGGTCTCTGTGCCCCTGAGACCCCAGCTCCAGCGTCCGCCCCTTGGAGGAGACACCCTCAGGGTCTCTGTCTTGCATTGCCATCCCTCGCTGTCTGGTGTAGGTGGGTCTCCCTCTGTCTGTCTCTCTGTGCGGGCAGCAGGGCACGGGGCACAGCATGGAAGCCGGGAGGCGTCCCCAGATGGTGCAGGTGTGTGCACCACGCCCTCCTCTGTCACGTGCTCGGCTGATTCCTGCAGACACAGCCTCTGTCCCACGGTCCCAGACAGACAGACAGACAGACGCCCGACAGCATGGGGGACAGGGCTTCTCTGTCCCCGGCTTTGCCTCTCTCAGCCACGAACCACAGCTGAATGGTGCTGTGTGTTGTTGATGGCGGTGTTTTTAAGATTTATTTCTTGATTTGAAAGTCAGAGTTACACAGAGAGGGAGAGACAGAGAGTAAGATCGTCTATCCACTGGTTCACTCTCCAAGTGGTCGCAATGGCCAGGGCTGGGCCAGGAGCCTGGAACTCCATCCGGGTCTCCCACGTGGGTGCAGGGGCCCCAGCACTTGGGCCATCTGCTGATGCTTTTCCCAGGCCCTAGCAGGGAGCTGGATCAGAAGAGGAGCAGCCGGGACTCGAACTGGCGCCCACAGGTTATACTGGCACTGCAGGTAGCGGCTTTGCCTGCTACGCCACAGTGTTAACCCCAGCCGACTGCTGTGGGCCAGCAGAGGAGAGTGCCACCCTCCTGGAGCCGGGAGGCAAGGCTGCCCCAGAGAGAGCCCGCTCTGGAATCGTCCACACAGCAATGCCGACCGCCCCGCCCCGCCGCAGCTCTGTGACACCCAGTGGGTACAGGACAGACAGGTGCTCGCTCCCACGGCCGCAACACTGCCAGAAACATGGGTCCCGGAGGCCGAGGGCTGAGAACCAGGCCGGGCTGGTGCTTCCGGTGGCCAGCCCCCCTTCCCACCCATCTACCGCCGGCTCGTGAGGCCTGGGAACCCTGGGGTGGCACCTGCTGACCGAGGCAGCCGGCAGTGCAGAGCCCCCCCCCCCACCGAGGGCCCCATGATCCGTGTCACTCACTGCACCCACAGAGGTGCTTCGGTAGGCACCTTGAAAACTGTCACTTTTGGGAGCATTTTGGATTTACGAATCCCCCCCCCCCACACACACACACATACACATACTGGGGATGTTCAAACTGGTAAAGTCTATGCAAATGATATTTCAAGAATCTCAAAAAAAAAAAAAAAAGCTTCAAAACTGGAAGCACTTCCGGCCTGGGCACTTTTGCATGGGGCATACCCGACCTGTCTATCACCCTTGTTTACAGATGAGGGACAGCAGGTGCACCTGGGGCTGGCAGAGGTCGGGCGTACTGGCCGAGGTGCCAGAGCTTTCAAGGACCAGGCTCTAGGGTGACTGAAGCAGAGCCTGGGCTGTTGTCACTGTAGAGCCACCACGGGGACCCTCACTGTGGACTCCAGTTGGGGGGGAGGCGTCCAGGCGCTGGACTTGAGCCCACAGGCCACTTGACCTCAAGTGAAACTGCACTTTTTTTTGTTTGTTTTTGAAAGTCAGAGTTAGAGAAGGAGAGGGAGAGAGAGAGAGAGAGAGAGAGAGAGAGAGAGAGAGAGAGAGGTCTTCTATCCGCTGGTTCACTCCCCAATTGGCCACAACTGCTGGAGCTGCGCTGATCTGAAGCCAGGAGCCAGGAGCTTCTTCCGGGTCTCCCATGCAGGTGCAGGGGCCCAAGGACTTGGGCCATCTTCCACTGCTTTCCCAGGCCACAGCAGAGAGCTGGATCAGAAGTGGAGCAGCCAGGACTCAAACTGGCGCCCATATGGGATGTGGACACTGCAGGGGGCGGCTTTACCCACTACGCCACAGCTCCAGCCCTGACCCCAAGATTTTGCAACAATGTCCACTGTGCAAAAATTGAGCTCCTCTTACGTGGTGATGAGCGCCACCCGGTGGAGTCCCATGGATGAGGCCGTCTCTCAAGAAGGGATTTGTGTTCCTAGGGCTAGACTCGCCTGGAGCTGGCGGCCAGGGAGGGCCCAAGTGACTGCAGGCCTGAGGAGCCCCAGCCGGGCCCAGGAGGCTGCCTCCCTCCCCTGGCACAAGTCCCTGCCCCATCAGGCTGAGCGGCTCCTTTGTGGGTGGGGGTGAGGACTTGTGGGGTCCTGGGCGCCCTGGGGTGGGAGATGGATAGGATGACCTGATTGATTGCCGGCACCACAGGGGCTCTCCGGGGTGGGGGTGGGGTACCAGCTCTCAGAAGCGCCCCTGAGCAGTGGCTTGGGAAGACATGTATCTGCACAGCCGTGAGACCCAGACAGAGGGGGGGTGGCACAGCAGTGGCCCCTGCCTCGCCCCGGAACTCTGCAGCAGCTGCAGGGGAGTCTGGAACAGTCTCTCCGTAAGAACTACTCCTGGGCTGCTGTGGGTACGGGGGCATACTGGAGACCGGGGAGTGGGGCAGAGGAGGGGCGTGTCCAGCTCCCAGGGCACAGGATACCAGGACAGGCTCAGAGCCCCGGCAGGGCCTGCTGCTGCTCTACCTCGCAAGCAGGTTTTGGCGGGAGGAGCCAGGCCCTCCCTAACAACGCAGACTGTCTCGCAGGGGTGGGGAAGGGCTGGCCCACAAAGGGGGCTGGCACTATGGTGTAATGGGCTAAGCCTCCACCTGCAACACTGGCATCCCATAGGGGCGCCGGTTCGAGTCCCAGCTGCTCCATTTCCAGTCCAGTTCTCTGCTAATGCACCTGGGAAAGCAGCAGAGGATGGCCCGAGTGCTTGGGCCCCTACTACCCACATGGGTGACCCTGGCTCCTGGCTTCGGACTGGCCCAGCTCTGGCCATTGCAGCCATTTGGGGAGTGAACAAGCAGATGGAAAACCATCCTCCACCCCCACCACCCACCTCTGCCTTTCAAATAGATGTTTAAAAAAATAACAATAATTCCAGTATGAGCAGCAGAGGCCAGCCCGATCCCAAGCACAGCACAGTCCAGGAGAGAACAGAAGTGGCCGCCCCCTCCAGGTCACCTGGAGACCAGAACTGACAGCTCCCATTCCTACCTAACCGCCTTGGTCCAGGCTGCCTTCGTTGGCCCCTTACAAACGGCACGCAGGCCATGGTATCCAAGCAGGCTGCCGGCCGGGCGCATGGCCTCTCCAGAGCCCCTCTCTGCGCTCGGGCTCCGGGGGAGACCCATCGCTCCGCCTGGCTTCAGAGGGCAGCCACGACGACCCACTTCCCAGGGTGAAGGAGGAGCCGGGAGGACGGATCGACGCGCTGGCGGCTATTTCTAGAATAACCAGGACGCCCACTTCTGAGCCCTTGCCTGAGGCTCTTGGTGGGCAGATGGCACACTTGTTCTTTTTTCATTTTCATGTGAAAGGCAGAGACAGAGAGAGAGCAAGAGAGGGAAACGGTGGGGTGATCAGTATACTGGAGCACTCCCCGCGAAGACCCACGACGGGCTGGGCCAGGCCAAAGCCGCGAGCCCAGGATTCGATCCTGTCCCTCCCCAGCCCAGCCACCAGCCTGTAGCAGACGCGCAGAATCGGCCAATGTCTACATCAGCTCCAGCATCATGGAAGAGATCCGTGAAACATAGTCAAGAGCAGAGGCCTGGTCGGGGTCAAAAGCCACAGTCCTGAAGGATGTGGAGCACAGACGTTTCTGGAAAGAGCAGGCAGGGGTCCTGGCAGTCCAGGCACAACAGGCAAAGCTCCTCAGGCTGAGACAGGCAGGTCGGGCTCTGGGCATGTGCCAGGGGAGTCCCCGGCCGCAGAGGCAGCTGTGGGGCGTGCGGGTGATGACGGGGGAGCAGCAGGGCCCTCCATGGGGACAGCCCCCGACCCAGGCTCTGCTTCTCCGGGATCTGAGATCGCACTGGCTTCGGGCTGGGGAAGAGGGAGGAGAGCAGGTTCTGGGTCCCCGCCAGCCTGTGTCCCGCCACGCCTGCCCATCCCCGGGGCTGTGGGCAGACAGGGAAGTCTGTAGTGTCGTCGGGTCATTCCACACTCACCGTTGCCGGCACAAGCTTCGTGCCACGACACCTTCAGGGTTGCAGCGTTTGACACTGATGTGCTGGGATCCGGATCTGAAAAATGTGCTCTCTCATCTGTCGTCTGCTGTGAGTCTCAGCGGTCGGTTCTGATGCTCACAAACTGGGTTTCACCTCCCTCCCTCCCTCCCTTTCTCTCCCTCCCTCCCTCCTTCCTTTCTCTCCCTCCCTCACTCCCTCCTTCCTTTCTCTCCCTCCCTCCCTTCCTCCTTCCCTCCTCTCTCCCTCCTCCCTCCCTCCCTCCCTTCTCCCTTCCTCCTCTCTCCCTCCTTCCTTTCTTTCTCCCTCCCTCCCTTCCAAAATGCAGGTTCCTGGGTTCCACCCTCTGACCCACTCAGTTGGATCCCCTGTGGAATCTGCATCTCCTGCAAGTCTACAGGCGAGCCTGTGTGCACCTGCGGATCTGAGCCAGGGCTGTCCACCTCTCACGTTGTGCCGGGGACCCCTTGGCAGGCCGGTGAAGCCTACAAACCCGAAGATCTCTGAAGGCAGAGAATGGAACACGTGAGATTTCAGAGGACGCCGATTTACGTTGAGAACTAAGGATCAACATGTGAAACAAAACCAACGTGTGATCAGTGGCGCACGGCTGCCTTGCCTCCCCTCCCCTCGCCGATGCATTACATAGCAAGGCCAGGCAGCAAGCCGAACGACCAGGAGAGTTTGGAGGGAACGTGGAGTGGTGACAATTCCAGGTGCCTGCCGCCTCCACCACGCGACGTGATTTGGAAGCCGCCCCGCCCGTGGTGGCCTGGGACCTGTCTTCGTAACCCAAGGAAGGCACTGCAGACCTGGACGTCCACCTTCCCCCCTCTTTGATTTCATGAGCCCCTCGCCAGCCACAGAGTACAGGTTAGGTGCCGGTAGCCCGCGTGGGGGGATGGACGGCGTGCGTGCAGGAGCTTGGGGATGTATGTCAGAGCCTACTGTGGGTGTGCGTGCATATGTGCACGCCCACACCTCCGTGATATTTCTGCCGCTGTGCCTGAAGGAGACTGAAGACGGGCTATTTAAAGTCACTCACGGTCTCGGTGGGAAGAAGCGCAGCTAGCCAGTGTATTTAAAGACAGAGCCTCAGCCAAGGCTGAGGTCAAGTTCAAGGCCTAATCACGAACACGAAGGCATCTAAGACACATGCTGGGCTCTGAGGGCCAGTCCCCTGCCTCCATGAGAAGAGGGAGACCCTGGAACACGCACCCCTCGGCGAGTGAGCTCCCAGTTCTGTAACAGAACGTCACAGCCGTCACGCTGACCTGGATGGGTTTCCAAGCAGGTGCTACCAGCCAGGCCATAAAAAAAACAACAAAAAATAGCAGTGTTTTCCAGCACAGGCTCTGCAAAGCACGGGTCTTGGAAATGATGCTCTGTAACTTTATTTTATTTTTTTTTGTGGGTTTTTTTTTTTTTGGTGGTTCAATGAGTTTGAGAGTCGGCTGAAAAACAAGCAGGTGAGGCAGCCTGTTCCGTCGTGTTCAGCTCAGCAGTTTCTTGCCCTCGTTGGTATCTGGAATCTCCTGGCACCTTAAAGAAACACTTGATAAAAATTACCCACCTCGCCAAGGGTCTGATTTAACGGGGCTGCAGGGGGCCTGGTCGAGGCATCATTAGCCAGAGACCTTGTCTCAGGTTCCCAGGGCTGCCGTAACCAAGGACCACCAGCTGCTCGGCTAAGAACAGCAGAAATCTCTTCTCTGCCAGCTCTGGGGGCTGGCAGTCTGAAATCCAGGCGTGCAGGGGCCCACGTGTGGCACAGCAGCTTAGGCTGCTGTCCATCTGTGTCCCGGCTGCTCTGTTTCCAGGCCAGCTCCTGGCTAATGACCCTGGGAAGGCAGCAGAAGATGGCCCAAGTGCTTGGGCCCCTGTCACCCACGTGGGAGACGTGGATGGAGCTCCTGGCCTCCATCTATGGCCTGGCCCAGCCCTGGCTGTGGCAGCCATTTAGGGAGGAACCAGGAGAAGATATCTCTCTGTCTTCCTTTCTGTGTCGCTCTGCCTTTAAAAATAAATACATAAATCTTAAAAATAAAAAGAGACCAAAGGGAGATTCTGGTCCACACCTCTCTCCCGGATTCTGATGGTGGCTGGGACTCCTAGATCTTTCTTGGCTTGTGTCTTCCTTGGCTTCTCTGTGGCTGTGTCACTCCACTCTGCCTCCTCCATCACACGGCCTCCACCGTGCGGTCTCTCTGTTCACCTTATAAGCGCACCTGTCACGTGTGGTGAAAGGGCCACCCTACTGCACACAGCACAATGTCCTCTTCCCTTGATGGCATCGTCGAGGGAGCTGTTTCTAAATGCGGCCACAGACCCAGGCACTGGGGGCTAGGACTTCCCTGCCTGTATCTTTTGGGGGATACCAGTCAGCCCCCACCAGACTCCCTTTACCCAGAATTCCTGGGCTCTGCTCAGAGAAATGCTGCCCACTGGAATTTTAAATTCCGAGCAAGCTTCCTGTAAAATCGCCAAGATGAATTGGTTCCACAAGCAATTCCCCCGGGGGCAGACCTTCTGAACTGTGTCTGGAACGGCCGGGCAGCAGGTTGCCAAAGAGGGCGCTCCTGCGCAGATGATGTTGTTTTTGGAGTGGGCGATCTCAGAGCCGTCGTCTGCAGTCTGCAGGAGCAGCCACCAGCAGGGAGGGGTCCGCTCACCTGGGACCAGCTGGGCAGGTGCAGGCGTGGAAGAGCAAGGTGCAAAACGCAACCCTCGCTCAGTCCCCTAACTGTTCCCTACGCTGCAAGCGACTGAGTTCTATCACCTGGTTTTTTGGGTAGTGTTTGATCACAAAATTAATTTGGCAGTTGAAGAGAGAGAGAGAGAGAGACAGACAGACAGACACCATCTGCTGGTTCCCTACTCAGATGCCTGCGATAGTCAGGGCTGGTCTGGGATTGCGCCTGGAGCCTGGAACAAGCCAGATCTGCCACGTGGTGGCTGGGACCCGATTACTCGCCCCGTCACCGCCGCTCCAAGGATCGGCATTAGCAGGAAGCCGGAGTCGGGAGCCATGTGGAGAGGCAGGAGTGGCACCGAAGTCCACGCTGGCTCTGAGGGTTCTTTTCCATCGCTCCACGGCACGCGTCTGAAAATAACGATACGCTCGCAGCACAGGACTGCTGAGAATTCAGCGAGGTGCGGGTTCCAGTGCTTGGGAATGAAATGTCTGGGGAAGAACGGGATCACTACAGGGGTGACGGAGCCCACTGCCGGGGGCGTTGTCAGCCCGGTCGTGGGCGCTGGCCCCGGGGCAGCATTTTGAAGTCAAGTCCATGGCCGCCTGCCTGCCCACTTCCCACTGTACAGCCTCACTCTCCTTAAACCTCACCTGCCCTTGCTAAATGTGGCTCTGTGGTTGACCTGCTGCGCGTCTGCTTGTGGTTTGGGCTGTGCAAAGTGGAGCTGCTGATGGCAACAGTTGCTTCTCAGGGTTGGAGAGGGGCTCCGCTCGGGAAAGGGGAGGAAGCCAGGCCTTCCTGCCATCGGAGGACTGAGCCCTGGCCGGGGGCGTGGCGGGGTTGGGAGTGCTGAGGACCTGGTGCCATCCCGCTTGCCCTCGGGGAGACCGTTCTCGAAAGCCTTGGCCCTGAGAATACTCCAGGGCTTCCGGGGAGCTGGAGACGCAGGTGGTAGCTGGGAACAGAGTGCTGGGGGCAGCCAGCAGGGACACGGCGCCTTCCCTGCACTGGGAGCTGCAGGAGGGTGATGTCAAAGGAGAGGGGAGGGGCCGGAGTGCTGGTGCAGCCGCCACAGGCGGTGACACCTGCATCCCACAACCATTGGAGTCCCCACTGCTCCACTTCTGATCCAGCTCCTTGCTAATATGCCTGGGAAAGCAGTGGAGGATGGCTCAAGTGCGTGGGCCCCTGCACTCTGAGCTCCTGGCTCCTAGTTTCTGATGTGCTGAGCAACCATCTGGGGAGTGAACCAGCGGATGGAAGATCTCTCTCTCTCTCTCTCTCTCTCTCTCTCTCTCTCTGTGTGTGTGTGTGCGTGCATGTCTACCTCTCTGTAACTCTTTCAAATAAACAAATCTTTTTTTTTTTTAAATAAGCAGCAGGAAGGCTTGGGGAGACCTCCTGGTAGGTGGTTATTCATGGAGAGTGGAGGCTGGGTCTTGCCTCTGAGAGTGAGGCTCTCCTCAACAGGTGCAGCACGAACTTGGAGGGGCGAGGTCTCTGGGAACAGAGCTCCATGGGCTTCCTGGCTTCTGTCCCGTCCACCCCTGCCCGAGTCACCTGGGGCCACTACCCATGACTCAGTACAAAGGTCACCTCTGCTGGTATCCAGGCACTGCAGACAGATCAGGGAAAAAGAGAATTCAGAGAGGTGCTACGTTGGCTCCCAAGTTTTTGAAATCCATGCAAGGTTTATTTCATAATATGCATTTCCAGGATTTTTTAGGTGAAATTTAGTTATTTGAAAGGGAGGGAGAGAGGAAAGGCAGAGGGGAGAGAGAGAGAGAGAGAGAGAGAGAGAGAGAGAGAGACTTCCACTGCACTGCTTCATTCCCCAGGTGCCTGCAACAGCTGGGACTAGGCTGAGCTGAAGCTGGGAGCTGGGAATTCAGTCTGGGTCCCCACGTGGGTGGCAGGGCCCCCGCTGCTTCAGCCACCACCCGCGCCTCCCAGAGCATGCGTTAGAAGGAAGGAAGCTGGAACTGGGAGCAGAGCAGCGCCTGGGCCCAGGTACTCAGCCATGGAGTGCAGGTGTCTCTTAGGAACTCTACGGACACCTGGACGACAGGGCTTGGCACTTCCTTGGATCTGCCAGGAGGAAAGACTTTAGTAACTCGTAAGCTGAGCTTGGGTGTTTCCTGTTGGAAACGGTTGGGACGAGGAGGGCTTCATATACTTGCATAGGCATAATGAGATATCTTGGGCACAGGGCCCAAAACTAAGCAAGAAATTTGTATATGTTTCATAGACACGTTATGGATATAGCTGAACGCAATTTGATGCACTATTTTAGATAATTTTCTACATAGAACAAAGGGTATGGACTGGACCCGTCACAATTATGTCTTCATGTCAACACTCAAAAATCTTGACATGGAAGTTTCTGGACTTTGGAATGTTCTGGATTCGAAGGGCTCAACCCGAGTCATCCTTTCTTTGCGGCGGATGGAGGAGGCCTAAGGAACCTGGAGTGGTGAGTGAGGAAGAGCCCGGGGCTCCCATCCTCCGCGCCTTTCACCGCTGTGCACCTGTCTTCATGCTCACCTGGAAGCCGAGCTATTGGTAAAGACACCCTGCAGGTCTGGAATCAGAGGGTCTGTGTCCCGTCTCCTGGTGACGGGGGCAGCGTGTGCGACAAAGGCCCACTGCCTCTTGCAGAAACACAAACAAACAAGACGCACAGACAAGCAGCTTGCTCAACTTCACTTGGTCCTTCCTCTGCAGTTAAAGTTTTAAGAAATCAATACCTGGGGCCAGAGCTGTGGTGCAGCGGGTTAATGCCCTGGCCTGAAGCGCCAGCATCCCATATGGGCACAGGTTCAAGTCCTGGCTGGTCCTCTTCCGATTCAGCTCTCTGCTGTGGCCTGGGAAAGCAGTAGAAGATGGTCCAAGTCCTCGGGCCCCTGCGCCCACGTGGGAGACCTGGAGAAAGCTCCTGGCTCCTGGCTTCGAATCGGCACAGCTTTCTGGCTGTTGCAGCCATTTGGGGAGTGAGCTGGTGGATGGAAGTTCTCTCTCTACCTCTCTCTGTAAGTCTTTCAAATAAATAAAAATAAATCGTTGTAAGAAAAAGAATCAACACGTGCCCAGGCCCCACGCAAACGAGGGAGCCAGTGCAAAGAGGGAAAGATACTAAGGCAGGGAAGGAGGAGAGGGCTCTGTGGGTACTTAGGAGCCTGGAGAGCCCAGGCCCAGCAGCCCTGCAGGTCTGACCTCCTCGTCGCCGCCTTCCGGGGTGAGTCGCGTCTTAGGGGGTGTGAATCCCCCTCTCTCCTTCGGAACATTTTCTCGCGGAGTGGGAACGACTGCATAAGCCAAGCCCGTTCTGTTGTGGCAATGTTTCCCAGCTGCTCACAATTTATTTCCGGCTCCTCAGTACTTGTTTACTGTCCAGGAGGAACGAGCCAGCGCTCAGTACAAAGGTCACCGAGGAAAGATCTCGGACAGGGGGCGGGCCGTGGCCACCGGGCTGCTGGGCTCCTCTGGGCTCTTCTGCAGAGGGGACCGACCAGGCGCTCATTAGCCCAGCCCTGGATCCCTGGGGAGCTCCAGCCCTGGTCTCTGCTCTCTGCCCGCTCCCTGCCCCTCCCAACAGCCAGGATGGTTAGTTAACCTTAGCAACCAGTTGTCTACGCAAGAACCTCAGCTTCCCGGCTCTCGCAGCGGCTGTGTGACAAGTCAAGGTTACCTTGCAGAACGAGCAGGAGGGGCGAAATGGATCCATCGACACGATGTGAGTCAGCCCCGTGACGTCATCCGGGGCTCAGCCGGATCCCATTAATTTTGACTGTGTGAGCGCATCACCCGTCGGAGAGAGACAGCCGGCGACGGAGCGCATGCGGAAGCGCACACACGGACACGCGCTCGCCGCCGCCACCCGGCCACGCGTGCACTCCTATTATTAGCGCAGCGAGTCGGTGTGGAGAGGGATTTTTCTGACAGCGTTAATGAGGGTGACCTTCAGGTGGGGGTGCACAGGCTGCAGGGGAGGGGAGGGAACGGAGACCTTGACATTCGTCTCTCTGGAAGGCATGGTGGGGCTCACGGGATGAGGCCTCTGCCCTCCCCGCGTGTTCCCCCGAGGCCTCTTTTCCGCGTGCCCTTAGCTTGCCTGCCTCCGGCTCTGGGTTTGAGAAGCCAGGCATGCAGGTCACCCCCAGGCCTGATGGCCAGCTTCCTCCGCCTTATCTGCGTTCTCTGGTTCCCTGTCGTCCGAGAAGGCCTGTAGGGGGCGCCATTCAGACTCCTGGGACGGGCCTGTCCTGGGCGAAGGGCCCTGCGGTTGGACCTGCACGGGGCATGAGTCCCAGTGTTTTTCTAGTTCTTCCTCTAAAAAAACGGGACTAAGAAAACCCAACCAGCCTGCACACACACAGCTGCACAGGCTGGGCGCTGCACCACTCAAGGGGGCACAGCGACTAGGGGGCACGGCGGTGGGGGCCCTGGAGCTGTGCAGAGCAGGGGTGCTGCCTGCCTGCCTGCCTGTCTCAGAGCTAGCTGATGGTCCCGTGAGACAACCCACGGTTACTGCCTCCTGCTCTTGGTTCTTCTGATTTCCGTAGAATGTGACCCGGGGCCCCCTGGCTCAGGGTGGGAGCCTATGTGCCTCCTGTTTTTTTTTTTTTTTTTTTTTTTTTTTAACTTGAGAGGCAGAGTTAGAGAGAGAGAGAGAGATCTTCCATCTATCTGTTGGTTCACTCCCCAGATGGCTGCAACAACCAAGGTTGAGCCAGGCTGAAGCCAGGAGCCAGGAGCTTCTTCCGGGTCTCCCACGTGGGCACAGGGACCCAAGGACCTGGACCATCTTCTGCCTTCCCAGGCCATCAGCAGGGAGCTGGATTGGAAGTGGAGCAGCCAGGACTCGAACCGGCGCCCATATGGGATGCTGGCGCTGCAGGTGGATGCTTAACCCACTACTCCACGTGCTGGCCTCTGTATTCTTCCCTGTGACCTGTCTTGGTGAACCTGACCTTCCTGATACCTGAGACCTGGGGTTTCCAATAGCAGAAGAGGGGTGGAGAGATCACAAGTACTCCAGGGCTCTTCTGGGTCAAGCTCGCCTTAAATGGAGGGGGTTGGAGAGGGAAGCTGGCTGCAGGGGGCCGAGCCTCATTCCAGGGTGGGAAGCCTCAGGCACCTGCCACTCAGCGGATGGCTCGGAGGTTGTACTACTAAGGCAACAGGATCTGTGATTGACAGGTGAGATTCCTAACATGCATTGTAGCGCGGGTTTTCACTGGCCCCTCAGTTGTGCCTGGCCATTAACACAGTGTGCACTATGCTGGGCTGGGCGGGAGGCAGCGGCTGTCCCGGGCTCAGGCCAGGCTGGAGTGAGCTAGGTGATTAAGGATCAGAGGCCCTAGGGGACCCCAGGGTGTTCAGAGATGGGGAAGCTGCAGCCCATTGTGGAGATGTTCGGTCTTGCAGAAGTATCTCCCTGCGAGGGGAGCCGGCTCGGATTCCCCGCAAGCCGTGCAATGGAATGATACACACAGCTCTAGGAAAATACGGGTTTTGGGGACTCAGCCTGGAGGACTACACGGAATCAGTATTTGGCTTTAGCTGATAGTTTTCAAGCAATTGAAAAAAAATTCAACTGACTCATAAGAATTGGTGTACCGTGCAACGTCTCAGCGTCTAGAAGATCAAATTCTGTCTCTCTCTCTCTCTCTCTTTTTTTTTAATTAAAACATATTGGGTCTGGCGCTGTGGCACAGCAGGTTAAAGCCCTGGCCTGAAGTGCTGGCATCCCATATGGGTGCTGGTTCTAGTCTCAGCTGTTCCACTTCCGATCCAGCTCTCTGCTGTGGCCTGGGAAAGCAGTAGAAGATGGCCCAGGTGCTTGGACCCCTGCACCCGCATGGGAGACCTGGAAGAAGCTCCTGGCTCCTGGCTTCGGATTGGTGCAGCTCTGGCCGTTGCAGCCTTCTGGGGAGTGAACCAGAGGGTGGAAGACCTCTCTCTCTCTTTCTCTCTCTCTCTCTGTAACTCTACCTGTCAAATAAATAAAATAATCCTTTAAAAAATTAAAACATGTCTATCCAGTTTTTAAAGGATATAATTATTTATTTGAAAGGCAGAGCTTCAGAGAGAGAGAGAGAGAAGGAGAGAGAGAGAGAAAGAGAGAGAGAGAGAGATCTTTCATTCTCTAATTCACTCTCCAAATGGCCACAATGGCTAGGGCTGGTCCAGGCCAATCCACAAGCCAGGAGCTTCATCCAGGTCTCCCATATGGGAACGGGGCCTAAGCACTTGGGCCATCCTCTAACTGCTTTCCCAGGCGCATTAGCAGAGAGCTGGATGGGAAGTGGAGCAGCTGGGACTCAAACTGGTGACCCTATGGGGTGCTGGCATCATAGGCACAGTGCCAGCCACTAAAGTGTTTATTTTTAGAATGATTTTAGAAACAATGTGAATGTCTTCTTGGTGCTCCATAAGGAAGTTTCCCAAACCCAAAGGGTAACCTGATGATTTATCACAGAGCCTACACTGCATCACGAGCACACCGCCAAGAAATAGGCCGCGGCCGGCCTGCAGGGGACCACCCCAGGCCCTGTCTTCCTTCCCTCCCAGAGTGGGAGCGCATGTGCGCATCCTCAAACATGGCGGTGTAACTTTTTTTTTTTTTTTTTGGACAGGCAGAGTGGACAGTGAGAGAGAGAGACAAGGTCTTCCTTTGCCGTTGGTTCACCCTCCAATGGCTGCCGCGGCCGGCGCACTGCACTGATCCGATGGCAGGAGCCAGGTACTTCTCCTGGTCTCCCATGGGGTGCAGGGCCCAAGTACTTGGGCCATCCTCCACTGCACTCCCGGGCCACAGCAGAGAGCTGGCCTGGAAGAGGGGCAACCAGGACAGAATCCGGCACCCCGACCGGGACTAGAACCCGGTGTGCCGACGCCACAAGGCGGAGGATTAGCCTAGTGAGCCGCGGCGCCGGCCGGTGTAACTTCTTTATCCCCACACATGCAGCTTACTTTTCCCTAATTGTGAAGCCAAGTAACCGTGAGGCAGGCATTCCTTTGAGTCTGGTTCCTGCTACTGAATGAAATCAGCCCACGTTGCTGTTGACGGACGTTTTCCTTATCTGCGGTTTTGATGGGGCTCAGGGATGTTTCTGAGAATGTTTGTGCATGGTCTCAGGGTACGCTGCGTAGCTCCTAGGAGTAACTTATGCACACCCGTCGGCTTTAGTGGGTGATGCTCTCACAGTTAGATGGGCTAACGAGGAAAAGGCGCGTCCCTCTACGAGGGTGCAAAATGCCTGCTTCCCCCCCAAAAAATTACCTTTAGCAAGATCACAGTGCCGAATCCCACCCCATGTTTCTCTCGGCCTTGTCCGCAAGGAAATTCCTCTTTCACGTGAGAAAGAACCGAGGTCGTCTTTCTCCACCGCTGTTTCAGCCATGACCGTGCCACACTGTTCTCTCCAGCGGTGTACTCCCGCCAGAACCCAGGTAGTGGTGAAGGTCTCCTGCACTGGAGTCGCTGTTTGATTTCCCTTAGTGGGGTGGACACTGTCTCCACCCAAGGAGATTTCAGGTGAGCCGCGTTGTCCAGCATGGACTTCAGGAGGTGCACCTTGTTGGGGGAGGGAGTGGCCCATCTTCAAGGGCATCCAGATCATACTGCACAAATCTCTTATCTCATAGTTTCTCATAGTTCTTTTTTTTTTTTTTTGACAGGCAGAGTTACACAGAGAGAGAGAGAGACAGAGAGAAAGGTCTTCCTTCCATTGGTTCACCCCCCAAATGGCCACTACAGCCGGCACTGCGCCCATCCGAAGCCAGGAGCCAGGTGCTTCTCCTGGTCTTCCATGGGGTGCAGGGCCCAAGGACCTGGGTCATCCTCCACTGCACTCCCTGGCCACAGCAGAGAGCTGGCCTGGAAGAGAGGCAACCGGGACAGAATCCGGCGTCCCGACTGGGACTAGAACCCGAGGTGCCGGCGCCGCAAGGCGGAGGATTAGCCTAGTGAGCCGCAGCGCCGGCCTGTCTCACAGTTCTGAAAAGAACTCCCACTCCTAGCAGGAAGTCTTTCTGAGTGATGCACAAAGCCCTTCCCCGGGTGTAGGACACCCTGATTTCCTGCTCCCATGGTTGTGTTTGGACAGACACATGCTGGACAGTGAAATTCTTCATAGGTAGGCAGCAGAGGCGAGAGAGGGCTGATGCCCGAGGCCCAAGTTAGACACCAATGGCGCCGTTCATCTCTGAATAATCGAGTTACTTGTCCCGATGATTAGTGAATCACCCCATGCTCCATCTAAACCCACTGTTCCTACTTGAGCCCTGGGATAATGGGACGCGTGCCTCCTTCAATGTCACCCTTTGCAAACACCCGTGTGGCCTCCTTATTCGTGGTTTAATGGCTTTATTGGATGTGTGCCTAGGAGACCCGTTACTGGCTCAAGTTGTTTTTGGGAGCAGGTGTGATGTGAGTGGCACAGCTGCTCAGGTGCCCTGGTCCTGGCCGTGCCTGCCTGGCAGGGCTTCCACCACTGGCTCCCCACCCCAGCTCCCCTTCTAGCCTTGAGGGGCTTGGAAATGAAGGGATTATTCTGGGTCACAAAGAAATCATCTCGCCGCCCAGACACTTGAGAGGCCGTCCTTTGGGATAGGATGGCTTCCTTTTAACTCACTTGAAGACTGATTGTTTCTTGTAAGAATGCTGTTAGGGGATTTGGGAAAAGGTCTTAAATCTCACTGGGTGTATGTGAGTGATGAGGTTTCAAAGGGAAAATGAGAAGCGGGCAGATCTGATAACCCGACAGAGCCCACGGCGGGCTCAGGCACGGCAGCTGCTTCCACTCCACAAAGTGGAACCCTCCAATGGTGACCGGCTCTGGGTCTCCACTAGGCTTACGGATAAACTGATGGGCAATTGTCCTTGCAAGAGCCGCCCACGGAGGACCCCAACAACTTGTGCCTGGAGCTCCAGCGGGGTCAGGGTAGAGACAGGAGCAAGGTGGTGTTGGGTAGAGGCAGCCCTCCCTCCGGCTCCATGGGATTTGAACTGGGCATGCGTCAGGCTGTGTCCATGTCATTTTTTTTTTTTTTTTGGATGGAAAGGGCCAGTTGCACCATCAGAGACAACCCCGGAGAGATAGCCTCAGGGCTTCTGGGGAGGCCTGGCGTGCCTTCTTTTAAATTCCTTCCAAGGTCACAGAGGCCAGGTGCAAGGGGGAACTTGGAGGCAGCCCTAGCGGCTGTGCTGTGTCCACTCTGCGGTTTGTCCCCCCTGACCCCTGTCACTGTACGTTCTCAGGCCTGAAACTTCTGTAACCATGACAATCCAAGGGGTCTGTCTGAAGAATGTCCTCCATGCTGGAAGACACAGCTCGCCTTAATTAGCTGGGACCCACAGGATGTCCCAAAAAAATGAGAAGCGCCCGGGATTATTATCCATCAAATGTCACTACAAATATGCTCCCGTTTCCGATATGGATGTGTGTGTTGCCAACTTGCTCAACCGAGTGTGACCCGCTGGGTGGTTTTAATTACAAATATCAATACAATTGGTGGGTATTTATGGGCGCAGACCCTTGCCATCGGGGGGAGGGAGCTAATTGTGGAAGACAGCAGTGTGATTGAGCTCTGAGGGAAGCCCCGGCTCCCGCTGGCTGGGTGCG